AAAAAGTTGGCAAAAGTCTCATCAATGCTTTTAGTTTTTGGAACAAGGATCCATCACAACCCCTCCGTAATATCTTTTCTATAGTTTGACTTTGATGAATTTTCCTCTTTCAGTTACATTTACATGTAAGTTAGTCAGAAGAAGAAAAAAATCTATTTCTTTTGTTTTTCTTTTGCTCTTGGAAAACTTACCATAGATGAAAATATTGCCAAACATGTACAAGCAGTGACATTAAAAGGTCCAACTCTCTTTATCAATATTTAATAATTAATCACTGTTCTTTCTTTAGATTCAGTATATGTTTAGTACTCTAGTTACTTTCTAATATTTGCATAATTGTGACTGCTTATATATTTGTAACATTCTTTAATTTATGCAGAAATTATTACCAGACTCTGTTTGTCTGTAGGAAGCTGAACGTTACTTGACGAGACACCAGCTGGAACTGGAACTCCTTCTAATGGGCAGCAAAATAATGGGCGTTGACTTCACTGAAGGGGTGAGTTAATTTTAGCATAGTAACATTTGTAATTTAGATCCTTTTCTTGTCATATTGCTTTTGATCTTTGAAGCACGCCATGAGTAGTGAGTTGCTCCCACTTAAATGGTAGTTTTGCCCGGAAATGATAGAGACACTGTGCACATGCATTGGGGCAACAGGTGTCTGGCAGAGCCGCAGTTCACCACTTTTCCTGCGGCCAACAGCACCACCTGCTGGTCATGCTAAGATATTTCAACTTGCCTGCAACGAAATCCCGTCTGAATTTGATGAGCAGAGCATTTTGGAGCATGAATCTAGTAAGAGGTTTCAATTTGTCTCTGATGCAGAATTACTGGAGCAGCACAGGAGGAAGGGATGATTCCAACAGGTAAGATGTAACGCCGCGAGCTAAAACCAGTGATTTCTGTTGATGTTTTTTTAAAACACCAGTGTGTCGGCTGAAACTCACTAAGTCTCTCTCAGGTTCAACAGTTGTTGCTTTTGTTTCCTTAGGATTCCCTCGGGAACAGATGGCTGGATGGAGTATGTTCCCATTTCAGAGAAGAAAAACATCACTGTGATTGTTTCACAGCAGCTTAAAGAAGGTAAGCCTGTGAGAGGCTAAAGATATTAATGTGATTGTTAATAAAACGGTAGGAGACTTAATTAAGGTGCCTCTACTGTGTAGGTGGCCCCCTGCTATATGACAGTGTGCAGCTGGTGCAGAACTCCGTGGCTTTGAACGGGACCCAGCGGGTTCTGCTCGATCATGTTATTTCTGAGGCGGAGTGTGCAGAGCTCAGAAACCTGGCACATGTGAGTACATTGTATAGTTATAATATCAGGGGTAGTCTTAAATATAAACCCGCCTCTATTGGTCCAGTGTTCAGAAAAGAAATGTTCTTGAAGCCTATTTGTGGGTTTATTTCTGTTTGCCAGGCAGTCACCATGGCAGGAGACGGTTACAGAGGCAGGATGTCTCCACACACTCCCAACGAGAGGTTCGAAGGAGCCACTGTGCTGAAGACTCTGCAGGTACACTGAATGCTATGCAAGCCCTCTAGATTCTGGACTCTACTCTTGAGGGCCACATGAGCAGCAATGGGAGGTCGGATTTGGCCCCGGGCCTTGAGATTGACACATGTGACCTAAAGGATGCAGGATGTTGCTTAAAGAATAATGTCAGCTACACTACATAAGTCCTGATTTTTGCTCGACTGCGTTTTGTCCTCCTTGCAGTATGGCTACGAGGGCCGAGTGCCCATGAGCAGCGCTCGACTCTTCTACGATACCAGCGAGCGAGTGAGGCGGATCGTGGAGTCCTACTTCATGCTCAACTCTACGCTGCACTTCTCCTACACACACCTGGTGTGTCGGACAGCCATCACAGGTCACTAACTCACTCAGCATAAACCCCTGACGCCCCACAATAGTTGATTTTGGGTCCTTTCCATGATTCTTTAGGTCAGTTTATGGGCAAAATTTGTATCTCTGGATTTCCATAAGGGAAAATTAAAAACTGCTTTCATCCTCTTACTTAGATCCAAACATGCTAATGTCCATACATTTATTGATTTTTTTTTTGCTTGTTGGGTGATTGGTTTATTATTTGTTGTTCCTTAGGCCAACAAGATCACAGGAATGACCTGAGCCATCCCATCCATGCTGACAACTGTCTGCTGGATCCAGACGCCAACGAGTGTTGGAAAGAACCACCAGCATACACATACAGAGATTACAGGTTGGACGATGACGTGTGTCTTCAAAGCATGATTTAATCCAATGGATTATATAGTCTCGTATTGATTTGGTGTTGTTCTTTCCCTTTTCAGTGCACTGTTATATCTAAATGGAGATTTTGAAGGAGGGGAATTTATATTCACAGAAATGGATGCCAAAACAGTCACGGTGAGATAGAAATAATGGAAATAATATAGAAGGAGATAACACTGGAGGTTAATTTATGTTTGGTGTTTGAAAGTAATTAATGAATAAATAAAAAATGTAAAGCAAATTTTTATCCAGCTTGCAATTGACCCAAAAAGAATATAATGTTGTGATAATATAAACAAACTAAATTCGGATCTTCTTTCTTTTTCAGGCATCAATAAAGCCAAAGTGTGGTCGGCTGGTGGGTTTCTCATCAGGGGGAGAAAATCCACACGGTGTGAAAGCCGTCACCAGTGGGCAGAGGTGTGCCGTGGCTCTGTGGTTCACCTTAGATCCACTCTACAGAGAACTGGTAAACAGACTTTAAGGTCACTCCAGAGCTGCAGTGCTTTGGAAAATGATTAACACGGCAGGATTTATTTGCAGCCGCAAAGTGAAAGCCATTTTAATAGAACTCTGTGTGATGGATCAGCAGTGATAACCTCATGTTTACATTTCAAATTAAGAATTTTTTTTCAGTGCTGAGCAGATTCTCTGATTATAGTCTTTAGTCTTTATAGGTATATGTTTGAGTAAAATGAACATTATTTCTTTATTCTATGAACTACTGACAACATGTCTCCAGAATGCCAAGCAAGAATTGATTTGCAGAAAATGAGAAATGGTCAAAACATTGAAAAAGATGCAGCACTCTCAGACCTTAAATAATGTAAAGAAAACAAGTTAATATTAATTTAGAAACAACAATGCTAATGTTTTAATTCAGGAAGAGCTCAGAAATCACTACTTGGTGTAATAACTGAGGTTTTCAATGGAGTTCAGTGTCGTGGGCTCTTAATTTTTTCCAGAGCTATATATACATTTTATAGTGATATATGAGTATCTCTCTAACTCTGTACTCATAGACAGCATCCTACATCTCTGTGAAAAATACTAAAGAAATTAATCTTCCAATATCTTTATTTTATTATTTTTTTGCTGTAATATATGAACAAAGTTGTTTTGTTTTTCTTATTTCCTTCTCGCCTGCATCTTTTTGTCCCTATTTTTCTCCAGGAGAGACTGCAGGCGGACGAGGTGATCCAGGCTTTGGACACGCAGTCTATTTGGGGTCAGGGCCTCACCATCAACCCTAAAGATGAACTGTAGAAGTGGTCTAAACAAAGAAGTGTCCATCACGTCTTCATTATCTTTATCAATGAAACCCTTTGGTATATTTTGCTATTTATTAAACAACGTTTGGATCAGAACATTTCTATTTTTGTACTATGCTATACCCAAGTGCAAAGTTAATAGTGTTGTGTAATCGGTTTTATTTGTACCATCAAACTTCTGTTTGGCATTTGAACCTTTTTCCAGTGAGATCCTGTTGTTTGGTATTTTTTATGCTGTGAACTGTGAAGTTGATGTTTCACTGTTTTGGGTTGTGATTGTTTCCTATCTTATTTCAGAAAACTCAGAGGTTAGTAACAAAATATACCTGAAACTTTTATCACAACTAGAACTGCTATAAATATATTATTACACACACTAAGATGTTACTCGGTTTTTCCAAATTGTCAGTAAGAATTTTCAAGGTTGGTGGTACACTGTTTCTCTATTTTGGAAATTGCAATAATTGGAACCTGTTCCATGCTGAATACATAATTTCTAAGAGCATTGTACAGTTTTGCACATTTACTGATTTGAGAATGGTGAGCGTGTGAGTATTTGATTTATTTATGCTTTTTAGATGGCTGATGTCTGCATTTCATATGAAAAAGTTTTGGGGGGGTTTTCATGAAAGATGCCAGCTGTTCCTGTTTCAAGGAAAATGTGTTTTTATGAGCATTTATTATTTCATGTCTGTATTGATCATGATGATGATGATGCACTGTAAGTCAAAACTTAAAAGTTTCCTATGTGCTCTCAATACTTTTATTGTGGCCTTAAGAGGGAGGCAATTTTTAAGTTAACATAAAATGGGTGTGTTCAAGCATAGAAATAAATTTTTATTTGGAAATGTATTATTTATTTGTCTATTATTTATATTTAAAATTAACTTAAAATGTGTATTTTCCAGGCACATAGTGCCATTTTCTAGCACAATCAAATCTCTATATGACTTTAGATTTGAGGAAAATAATATTGTCGCACAATGTAACTTGAACACCTGAAATGTAAAAAGCAGTTTTACATAAGAGACTATAATTTTCTTGTGTAAAAACAAGCAAACAAAAAAAGGCATTCTCCGTATTGATTTTCAATCTAGATAAAGTCCTCTATCCCTTATTGTTTACTTTGATTATACTATAGGTCTTCCTCTTATTAAAAAGAGGCTTCACCTCTGTCTGAAGAGCTGAAAACAATTTTACCTACGAATTCAGGCATTTTGATCAAAGTTTCAACTGTTTGGTCTCCGTCTGTAAACATTCAATTTAACATGAATCAAAAACTTCGAAAACACATTTAAAGAGGATTTATCTTCTCAGCTGTGCTCAGATTAACTAATCAGAATAACAACGTTGCACCAAGTCAGCATGTAGACGTACAAAAATAGAACCGAGAGCATTGAAGAGCACCAAAGATCAGCCTGAACAATCACTTTTCTAAGAATTAAGACTTTATTGCCATTTCAGATACTTGTGTAGCTACTGACTATAAATGTTTATTATAGTTTGGATTCAACCAAAATGTAAAAAGTGCTAAAATTGTACTGTTTAGTTTTTCTTAGACACAAAACAGTAAAACAACCTTTTTTTTTTTTTTTACATCTTTCAAAATTCATCGGTATATAAAGTTTTTCATTCATGAGAATTAGCTTGGTCTACATAAAATGAATCAAGCACTCTGATCAAAGGCATGTAATGAGAATCATAATAAAAACAATGCACTCAATTTACTGGATGATTGATTGAGGTCTGTTTACATGAAAGGAGGTCACTGAGGTTTAGTTTTTTCAAAATGTACTGTAATACAGCACAGGAAACGATACAACATAATGCAGAGTACACACAACATTTCATTCATACCTTGCGAACAAATATATATGATAAAATCAATTTCAGTTGTAATTTTTAATAAGCGCTGGATGTTGTGCATGGATTAGGAAGGTGTGTGGGGCTTGTTTGCCTCAGTAGCGGTAAGCGGAATCGTCCGTGAACTGGAAGGGTCTGGTTTCACTGACAGCATAGATCAGCTCAGTCATACGGCGCGCACGCCGCACCTCCACCCTCACCCTGCGGGAGTGCTCTAAGGCTAACATCCGCTTTGCTCGCTTCTCCTCATGTTTCCGCTTCAGCCACCTGGAAAAGGCAAGAAAATGTTGTCTAAAAGAAATTATTTCAACATGATAGTTAGTCTGATGACAAATACTTTTTTAACAGGTATTTTTCTGCTCTACAGAAAATGGTTGTAAAATTTATTTTGTAATATTTGCCCTTCTCTTAACATCAAATTTAGAAAGCAAAGCTACAAATATAACATATTTTACACCAAAGATCTATTATATCTACTTATTATGGAAGTTTACTGTTTCCCTGCCTAAGTTTTTCCAGTCCCAATTTTTTTTTCACCCCATACACTGGATTTTACAACTTCATCACCCCTGTTAGTATGCAATGCCCCAAACTAATTAGCCTCCATTTTAAATGCCTGTGTACCTCACAGGCTCCAGTAAAGTAAAAACCAAAGCCTTCACAAGAACATCACCTTTAACTACACTGCAATGATGTCTGTATAATGTAAAAAGCTTAATTATTTGTTGTTTGTTACTACTATTGATGATTTTGAATGAAACGGGTAAGGAGATCACACTCACAGATTGAAGGCATGGTCACAATCCTGGCGGCTGTGCATTAGGCAGCTACAATCCTCCTCCATTTTCCTGAGCTCCAGAATCTGTCTCTCTTTCTGCACCTGCTCCGTTTTCTTCTTCATCCATGACCTGTAGGCCTCCTCTGGGTCATAGAAGTCTCTCTGTGACCACGGGCAGAAGTGGAGATAATTCAAATTTTTTTTTCTTTCTTAGTTGGACAGTTTATATCAGCGTTCTAATTTTTGAGGAGGAAGCGGCATTTTTAGGATTTTCTTTCTGAGTATGAGACACTGATTTCCTCCAGGGGAACATTTTTATGTTTAGATGTTGATGAAATAAGACACCGATTGAGCTTTTGGGACATAATGGTAAGAGGTGACCTTCAGCATCATGTTTCACTGCCAGTATTGCGGGTATGTTGCACGGTGAAGCTGGAATGAAGCAAGAAGACTTCCTTCAAATGTTTAAACCTGGCTAGATCTAAATGATTAAAACATTGACAAAAGTTTTGAAATGTGCATTAAAATTGGTTTTGGCATTGATTATTAACAACTCTACAAAAACTCATGCACTGTGCATAAACACCATCTTCAAGCTATGAAGCCCAACAATTTAAATGAAGTCCTCCGATTATGACTAAGAGTCCTCCAGTATTTAGTTCGTACTATGCCAGCGTCTTGCTGATGGCTTGACATTTAGGCTCAAAAACTTCATTTAGCAAACTATATTTAGCGTAAAAACTTCTAAATGCCACTGTAACTATAACCACCTATTCTCACTTTCCAAATTATTGTAGCTAATTGAAGGCTGGAGGTTGTGTTGATCATTACAAGCCCTAAGATTAAAAACTGTTTCAATATTTTGATCTCAAAAACAAACATGCAAGCTCCAGTTCTGCATTAGGCTGCATAGTTATCTTTTTTGGAGATTATCACTGAGAACAACTGCAGGCTTGGGAGACAGTTTCCTCTAAAAAATTTGAGAAAGTTAGAGGGAGACTTTGATCTTCATAAAGAGAAGGAGATGGGCTCTTTCATATTTCAGTAGTGGATTAATATTTGACAGGTTTTGTGCTGCCTACCTTAGCATTCATCCTCTCTACATCCTTGGCACGATGAATCTTTCTCTCCTCAAAAATCTGTTCTCTTTTCCTTATCAACCACCTCTTGAAGGCCTGCTCGTTCTCCTGTCTCCTGAGCTCCTCTTTCTCACGTTTCCTCTGCTCTGCCTGACAAGAAGAACGACAATCTATGTGAAAAAAAAAGGTTTACCAGTGTCAGAACTACAATACTGCAATGCAAAAATCTACAAATTTATCTTTTATTTTTATTATCACACCTCTCTGGCAAGCCTCTCCTTCCTCTCCTTCGTCTTCTGCAACAGCTCCTTTTGCTGTGGAGAGAGAGCAAAAGTCGCCTTGGAAGGAGTACCTGTCGCAGACTGCACTCGCCTCTTGCCGTTTCTCATCTGAGTCTCTCTCTGGCCTTGGCTGGCCGAAGTGGGTCTGACCTTGGGCTTAGTTGGAGGTCGCGGTGCTTGAAGTTGATCAGTGCCCAGTTGAAAGGAGGGTTGAAGGTGAGCAGATGACTGTGTACCATTACCTACATTATTTACTATTGGAGGGAGGAGACTCTGGCTCTCCATGTCCTTTATACTAACAAGGTCAAACTTACCATCTTTTTCCACAAGCACTTTACTCTCCTTAGTTTCCTGGAGTCCTTCACCACTAAATCTTCTGAATTCCTTGCTTTCGTCATAAGGAGAAGATGTTAACTCAGATATCTTCCGTGATACCTCAGAATCTGCATCTGAAACCTCGGCTTTGTCCTTGATGCTAATTTGTCCACTAGAGTCAATGATTAAGTTGGACAACATCCCTGATACCACAGATGCTGCACTTGCAATCAAGGCTCTCTCCTGTTCTTCATCGGTGTCATCGAAGTTGCTGACTTCTCCTTCAGTATCACTGGTGTATAACTCGGACCTCTTCTGTGATACCTCAGACTCTGCATCTGAAACCTTGGCTTTGTCCTTGGTGCTAATTTGTCCACTAGAGTCAATGATTAAGTTGGACAACATCCCTGATACCACAGATGCTGCACTTGCAATCAAGGCTCTCTCCTGTTCTTCATCGGTGTCATCGGAGTTGCTATCTGAAAAAAGTGGGGGCACCACCAGGTCCACCAGTGTGTCTTTAAAATGAACACCTTTCTGTCTCTTCATATCTGGCGTGTCCTGTTCCTGCAGTTCCTTGTTGGCCTGCTCGATTTTATCCAAGATGTACATCTGTTCTTCATCTGGTTGGTCATTTATCTCAGGAGAAGGTGTTTCTGTATGTAACGATGTACTCTCTAATGATGTACTCTCCTGCTCTATGTCAGAGCCTACTGGCTCCATAGGAGACGGCCACCTTTCTTCATTCTCTGGTTTTTGGTTTTTGTTTTCATTTTCTATTCCTTCTCCTGGAGTCTCTTCCTTCTCCAGCTCTTTGTCTATTTCTGCGTCTATGTCCCCATAGTCAGAGCCCTGTTCAGTAGATGAAACAGACATTCATTACTTAGGTTGTAATGTGGACAAAAGGCCAAGCTCAACACTTAGACTTTGATAATGTGTAGTGTGATAGCAGATATGTCTGTTTGCTCATCAATCATGCATTGGGGAGTATCAGACTGAAAGTATTCCACTGCATGAGAAAAGCATTGGTTTCACATGCAAGCGGTGAGATGTGCCAGGTTGTGTAACTTAACACTATTACCCATCACACTTTAAAGGCGCTCTGTGGGTTAGTGACACTTTCAGGACACAGAGAAAGGAACTCCAAACATAGAGAGCCTCGACGCAATCGCATTCATACCTTTAGTGTCATCACCAACGCAAATTTCATGGCTTTTAGATTATAATAATTATGAAGTGAGAGAGAATAGATAGTTTAAATTTGTTTCATGAATACAGTTTTGAAAAGTGTGTCACATAAAAATTATGAGAAATTATGTATTGTTTGTTGTTTTCATTGAAAATTGTGACTCATTTTTTGATATAATATAAAATAATATAATATAACATAACATAATATAACTGATGATGTAATTCCTTATTTTTATTGTTTTCCTCTGTTACATGAGAGAATTGGTGAACATCAGTACAGTCAAAAGTATGATTAAATCTAATGAAATATTATTTGTATGATGTAGAGCAGTATATTTGCATTATTAAATTCATGTGGTATTTTGTACATGTGTACATTTTAGTTTTTGAGAGCAGTATTTATATTTGCAATACCATCCGAGAATGAAAGAGGTTCATGTTAGCTCTGAAGGAGCTGTGTTAAAAGAGTCTAGTCAAAGTCTTCACATAATTTGTTTTGAAAATCTGAGGCAAAACTGAGTGAGCTTTAGATCTTTTGAAAATAGAACTTGAATAATATTTTCACTATCTACAAAATTGCAAGACACATGTAAAAAAAAAAAAACACTTCCAACTCAATTTGCTGGCCAAGCAATAGATTCACAAAGGCTGAAAACAGATTATTTTTATTTTTTTATTTTCATAAAAAAAACTGTGAAAAAAAGAGAAATCATAAATCCTTTCCCTTCCTCTTCACAAAAGGTACTACTTTGGGTTGGTCTATCACATAGACAGATGATGTGGCAGCTGCAGTGCGACAATATGTTGAAACCTCAAGAGGTAATACTTTTGCAGCACAACATGGATTCACCCCACAAACTAAAATGTATTATCTCGCAGAAAAGGAGAAAAAAAAGCAAGCAGTCGGTTACCTGTTCTTCATTTTGGCCCTCCTCTTTAATTAGCCAGTCAAGCTCCTTTTCAAAGTCGTCTACATAATCCTCCTGAGACTTGGATGAATTTGCCTCAGTCATGATCTGCTGATGAGAGACAAAAAGACCAAATTAAGAAATTTTACAATGATTTTAAGTAATTTTTACAAATATTGCGAATTGTTTATGGCCATACCATGAAGTTGATCCACACTGGATTTTAAGACATTTCTTAAAAGTAATAGGGAAAATAACTTCATAAGTTTTCATTCTGGTCCATAGTAAATATAAATTTTGGCTTCACTATGTTGCTATGTAAATATATAACCTTATTTAACCCAAAGTTTAAATTAGGTTTAAACTTTGTATTTGATTTTTATCAGCATCTCCTAAAAATACAAACAAATATCTAAGAAACATGTTTTATCCACTTAAACTCGACTACATTGGAGTCCCAATATAAAGTACAGAGTGAAAAGTGTAATTAAAAATTCAGTGATCTAGGCAAATAGTTGTTGGTGCAACTATTTGTACTAGTGTGTGCTTGAATAAGTAAAACAAGAAAAACACTACAATTGTACTGTTGTTAATATTATATTTACTTAAAATGCGACGCATAGCTGTTTGGCAACGTCCATAAGTAATTTATTAATAGACATCACAGTAAAATAAAGACAAACTCTGAATAAATTGTTTGTGATTTGTCGCCATCTGGTGAATAATAGGTGGTATTGCATAATTACTCAAACTTTATTTCTTTTTAAACAATAAATCCGAATCCCGTAGCTAAAACAACGGCTATATGTTTAATTTTAATTTGTGCAGTATTGTAAATTGTAAGAATTTACACCACTGGACTCAATACAAGCTAAGACAAAAATGCCCCCGTTAATGTGGTTTATTTTTATAGTTCTGGTTGACGGCGGTCAGTGAAATAGGAAAACTAAAAGTCGCGAGAGCAATCATGCAAAACAGAAATAGATAAAGAGACTCTTACCAAATGAAGGTTAGCTATTCCACTCACCAACAGGCTGCGCAATGACCTGCCGTCGATGAGTTAGAGAAACAAATTTATAATGTCGGATTGTTTCGTTGTTATTTCTCCATCTCGTTGTCCCACATACTGCGTAGCAGTCTGTATGGCAACACCTGCTATCATAATCTGGCCCGAGTCTCTTTAGCCTTAAAAGCTTTAATAGACGTGTCGTCATGGCAACCAACAACACGCTTCATCAAAGCGCATGCGTACAAACACGGCCTAGTATTCTTGTGTCGTTCTATACCTTGATGTGTATCAAAAAGTTTAATTACTTCAGTTTCACCTCCATTAAGCACATTGTATAGATTAATTACAGACTGACGTTTTTATATTTCTGTCAATCATACATTTCCGTTAAAGCTAATGAAAACAGAACATTTATGACTAGAACCTTCCACCAGGACAATAAAACATCTCAATACATGAATATGGGCTTCATGGATACCGTAGTTTTGATAAAACATGCGTAGAAGTTGATGATGAGAATCCGACAAAACGAGTCCCACTATGCTAATATTGAATATGACTGTATTTAGTATTGCAACTAAAATATATGCTGCTGCTCTCCATAAAAAATTGGACAGACAGACAGACAGACAGACAGACAGACAGCCAGATAGATAGATAGATAGATAGATAGATAGATAGATAGATAGATAGATAGATAGATAGATAGATAGATAGATAGATAGATAGATAGATAGATAGATAGATAGATAGATAGATAGATAGATAGATAGATAGATAGATAGATAGATAGATAGATAGATAGATAATCATTTGGAATTTATCATTTACTAAATAAAAGGTTTAGTATATTCGCAATTAAAAAAACAATAAACATAAAATATTAAATGTATGTCGATCTCCTTTTTAAGTAACTCGAGAAACAGGAAGCGCTGGACTTTTTGATCACTTTGTAAAACACTGGTTAATGTGAAGTCCATGAACGTTACAGCCGTGTCTAGCGTACGGCATTCTGGGTCTTGTAGTTGTCATTTAACATTCCACTCTTTGTTCTTCCCTCCTTGAGAACTACATTTCCCAGGAAGCCCTTATCAGTACCCAGAAACCACCCGCCCCTTTACTGGACAGTTTTTAAAACACGACTAATAGCACGTAGGCATGCAACTTATGACAGAGGGAAGAGTTGTTCCTACTCACTGATCAGTTACTGTTGTCACTTCACTGAAGGTAGCAGAACTTAAGCGTTTTTTTCTTGAAAATGGCGTCCATCGCTCTTTTATTGGTAAAGCAGACTGCTCAGACCAAAGCAAAACGGTGCTTGGGTTGTAGATTAAAGGGTCTCGCAGGTCCTGGTGGCCCATCCGCGACTTTCCTTCCGGCAAGGGAATGGCTCTCCAGAGGCTTGAACTTACGGTTCATGTCCCACGGGACAGCTGGTCGGTCCGCAGCCGGGACAACCAGAAGGGGAGCCCTGGTGTTTAGTGGTGCGGCGGCAGTTACCGCCGCAGCGGTGGTGGGCTTTCTGGCTAACGCTAATCACTTCCAACGGGCAGAGATGTCGACCACAATCCCCCAGAAGGCAAAGAAGAAGGAGGAAGAAGAGGAGGACATTGCGCGAAGATGCCGGGGCTTCATGTCGGTCCCGGTGACCGACATCAGTGTACTGGAGAAGAGGAAGGATGAGATGAGCACCAAGATGGAGATGCTGATCATGGAGACTCAGGCTGAGTTCTGTAAAGCCCTGGAGGAAGTGGACGGAGGGACATTCAAGGTGGACAAATGGCAAAGGAAGGAAGGTAACACTGGGACAGCTAGTGGTTTACACTTTTTAAGCAGCCCATACAAATACAAACACTGCTCTTACAGTATGTAAAATTGATGTTTGTTTGCATCAGAAACATACCTGGAATGTTGCCTTGATTCCTTCATGCATGTATAAAAAAATCCTTTAGTTTCCAATGACAACCATTCAGCTATGCAAAACGCCTGGGCAGACCTAGCACCGCCTTCGAGGTCAAGCTCCTCCTCAGAGCTGCAGTTTCCAAGCTACCCAGCTTCTGGCTCACAGAGCAGCCCTCCTCTAAGACTCACCCAATCAGCTCCTTCAGACTAGCCAGAAGCAATTGGCAAACACCTGATGAAACTTCGCATCTGCTAACCTCATTATAAGAAATACTTCTCAGTGAAACCCTAGAAAAAAAGTTGTTAAAGGTTTAATAGAAGAGCAATGTTGTGATGGCTTTCTGAAGGTGGAGTTTCAGAAAAAGCAGTATTTTCTAGGTGTTTAAATTAAGTTATGAAGTAATATTTGAGATATATATAAGTATATATATATATATCTTTGCTATGTTTAGCCACATTGTGCTAAACATAGCACAGTGTGGATTGAAAACACATACTTCCCTTTTAATACTCTGAGGACATTTTGTAATGTAAAGAGGAAAGCACGCACAAGCAATATCACCAAACATAAATGCAGAAAAACAACTAATTTTCACCATTTTGTTTGTTTTTAGGTGGAGGAGGAATCAGCTGTGTGATGCAGGATGGAAAAGTGTTTGAGAAGGCAGGAGTTAATGTGTCGGTGGTGTTCGGGTATCTGACTGAGGAGGCTGCGAAACAAATGAGAAGCAGAGGGAAAGTCCTCAAAGGGAAAGATGGTGTGTTCTGCTTAGAGTGATACTTTCCCTTGACACCTTCACTGCAGTTATCTAAAGTATAACTTGGCTCTGTTTTGCTTCAGGTAAGCTGCCATTTTGTGCCATGGGTGTGAGCTCCGTCATCCACCCCAAGAACCCTCACATTCCTACAGTTCACTTCAATTACAGATACTTTGAAATAGAAGAGGAGGACGGTGAGTCCCTTTTTAAAGCATCTGTGTCTTGGTGTCAGTGGCTCGATTGACTCTGTGGATTAATGATGAGTTTTGTTTCCTTCTCCCTATTGCGTGTGTGTGTGTGTGTGTGTGTGTGTGTGTGTGCGTGTTTGTGTGTGTGTGGTCTGGTCTGGTCTCAGGCTCCAAGCAGTGGTGGTTTGGTGGAGGGACAGACCTGACCCCGGTGTACATTGACAGAGAAGACGCCTTTCTGTTCCACAACACCCTGAAGGAAGCCTGTGACAAACATCACCCGAAGTACTACGCAGACTTTAAAAAATGGTACAGCTACTTCAGCGACTCTGACGTGTCTGTGCACATCAGCCTATGTGTGTGTTTTTAGGACTCATTCCAGTGAATTTGTGTGGATGAATTACAATGGGTGTACCCTCACTGCTGGTTGGTGATAAGAGGAAGTCTCTCCCAAAATCTAAAGATGCAGAAGAAAACCGTTGAGCAATGCCTGAGGTCATAAATGACTAGTGTTAATGTGGACAGGAAGGGTGGGAAAACATTTTCAACATTTTGTTTTCTGTTGTATTGATGAAAGACAATGATACAGTATCTGTTCAGGTGGATGTTTGTTTTCCAAATAAATCCCTGACTTTAAGTTTGTAAAATAATCAACTTCCCTGTTGACTTGTTGTGTCCTCCAGGTGTGACAGATACTTCTACGTCCGTCACAGAGGAGAGACTCGGGGCATCGGAGGAATCTTCTTTGACGACCTTGACTCCCCAAATCAGGAGGAAGTGTTCAACTTTGTTAAGAGCTGCGCTCGAACCGTGGTGCCCTGTTATCTTCCCATTGTGAGGAAACATCTTAATGATTCCTTCACTCAAGAGGAGAAAGACTGGCAACAGCTGCGACGAGGAAGGTGAGTGGAAAATGAATGATATCACAGCTGATGTGGTTTGGGGAAAAATGAGTAAATTTAGTTCAATGCTGTGTTTGAAAAAGAAATATTTGTCAAAGTATATTGTATTATAGAAATTAATTTGTGAAGTGTTTCGTATTTTATATTTTAAAATTATAGCAAAGCACCCTGAACTTTGGAAAGTTAAATTTGGAAAAGTCATTCAAAGATTGATGTAGAAGCCCTGTAATATGAAGAGCCTGTTTTTGTTTGTGTTGCAGATATGTCGAGTTTAACCTGGTGTACGACAGAGGAGTAAAGTTCGGCCTTGCCACACCTGGCTCCAGAATCGAGAGTATCCTTATGTCCCTCCCCCTCACAGCCAGGTAACACATTCGCTCTCCTGCTCTCTGTCCAATAGTAATCAGCCGTCTGCGTTGTCTGGTAACCGACTCCTCCTTCCAACCAGGTGGGAGTACATGCACGAGCCTGGAAAAGGTTCCCGGGAGGCCGAGATGCTGGAGGTACTCAGAAACCCAAAAGAGTGGGTGTGAGTGCCGCAGTCAAAAGTTTACAGAAAGAAGAGCCTTTGTATTATTTTTGTAAAACCTACCCGTTTTACAAGACCTGTGTTTATAAGGAAAAATCAAGTGTCATCAATTGTCTGAGGACTGTGCTTGCACTGTTAATTTCCTTCTTTAATGTATTATCAAAACAGCCTTCTTAAAAGCTTTAAGGATAATGTTGTTTTTAATAATTGGGTTTTGTGCTATTTGTTTGTCCTTGGTAGAAATAATCATATAAATTACCTCCATAGATTACCTCCTTGTAGATCTGTCTACATATATGTATATTTTTTACTCATAATGGGAAGCATAATTTTTATCCTTTCTCTTATTTTTTAATTTTCCAGTGACTTTAATTAGTCTTCTAATCTTCTCATTTATTTATTGAAGCCCTGGAAGAGAATAGGTCAAATGTGTAATGTGTGTACTTTTATCACTGATGTACCAGGAACAATTAACTCAGATTTTGACATATTTCTATCTGCTCTAAACATTTAATTTTGTTTGATTAATCAAACCTAAAAAGCAAGAATGAGTTACAACTGCAAGGAAGTGGTGTACTAAATTATATCATGGATTCATTTGAGAGTTACCCGGAAGTGGAAAAATGTCAGTTTGTAAAAATGTTTCTTTTCACCTCTTGCATTAATTGTTGTAATGTGCAATTCCCCGTAATTTATAATTTAAAAGAGTTGTTTAAAGGATTTAAATATTACATTGATTGTCCTGAGTGTCTTTAATATTAACTAGTAGAGAATTGAGAAAGCAATTCAAGAGAGTTGCCACCAAAATATAACTTATGCCAACTTACTAACAGACATTGTATTATATTAAGCATAAAAATATTAATTTGCAAAATCCTCCAAATGTTGAACCCAAATATGACACAGAACTGGCAAGAGTTTATTGGGATGATGTTGGTCCATAATGCAAGAAATGAGTGTTATGTTTACTTTAATAGTGATTCTGTGAAGAAGTTCCTCTTCACAGAGCCTGGTAAAGGTTCCCAGGAGGCCAAGATGCTGGAGGTACTCAGAAACCCAAAAGAGCTCACAGTTCACACAAGTTCACAGAAGAGGAACTTCAGGGTATACTTGCCAACTCAGCACCTCTGACGTACGTAACGTACGTCAGACCTGAGTGAAGTTGCCCCTCCACCTTCTTCAAATCAGACAAAATTGGTGTCAAACTTTGTGCTGGTTTGTGCAGCAAACATTTTCGTTTGTGCCGCTATCGTTTGAAAGATAAAATCAGACAAAATGGGTGTTAATTAGCTCGACTACGTTTGTGCAGCAACAATTTGTGCTGCTTTGGCTTTGAAGATATCAGTGACAGCTTAAAGGTTAAGAGGTCAACCTCCTGCTTTTTTCCTTATCATTCACACTCCATGCAGTTACTGCCTCATCCCGTTTCACTGTCACTGACTCATTTTTGTAAGTCCAAACTTGCATATAGGCTGGAGGTTTCCATTTAATTCTGAAACATCTTACTTTCCAGAGAATTTAGTTTGATCATCCGGTTACGCTGTTACACCTTTTCCTATTCTGTCATGCTGCACTCACTCCCTGCTTCCTCGTCTTGCTTTTTGTTGTTCGTTTTGTTACCAAACGCTTGTCGTTTGTCATATTTTACATATCATCCAAGGGCAAACAGTTAACACAAACCCTATCACAGCACAGCTCCTCTTCGGTGGGTAGTAGCTCACACTCCTTATTTGGTTGTTTTTATAAAAAAAAAAAGTTTAATGTTTTTATTGTTTACCAATATACAAAATCTCAAGAGTCACAACGACAGGAGAAAAGAACAAGAACATAACAGTAAGGCAAATAAAAAGAAATAAAGCAAATATTTAAAGCAAAACAACAGTAGCTATATTGGCAGTCATTATTATTTTCCCAGTATTTCTTCATCTGTTGCTGGTTCATTCAGCAGGGATCAACCAAGTCCCTCAGTTTTAACTAGCAACAGCTGCAATGAGGAAGGTGAGTGGAAAATGCATTATTGCATTCAAATCCTTAAAATGAATTCATACCCCTCAAAAGTGGTAGCTCTTAGTATAAAGGAGCAATGTAGGGAAATGTTTTTTATTGTCCTCTTCAGTCATCTAGTTGGAGAATGATCAAAAGAACTGGTTTTATGAATAGGAGGGTGTGGAAACTTTCTTATTGATTAAACTGAGGAGGGAATTAGACTGAATTATGTTAAATTTAAGAATCCCCTATCAACGCTCTCGTTGAGTTTCTAAAGTCATTTCTGTTTGCACAGTTTAAGATAAAATCTGACAACTCACATCTCTATTAGATCCGTCTGTCTGTCACAATCTTGAGAGCAAACAAGTTTATTTAAGTATTCCAAAAATGTAGGTCCAAAAATGATTAAAAATAGATACTTTTTCAATTCCGGATAGAAAATTGTTTGGTTATAGCAAAAAAAAAACTAAAACAAATTAAATTCAGAGTATGACATGGTGAAAATCCAGAGGTGAAAATAGATGCTCTATAAATTGCTGCTGTACATCTTTTAAAGCACAAACAACACATTTAAGTATATTCATACTGCTGTATGTTGTATTATTAGTCTTGACACATTACTGTTTTTACCTTTTCATTTTAGTTTTTCATGTTTGTTTGTGTTGTAGGTATGTAGAGTTTAACTTGATGTATGACAGGGGAATAAAGTTCGGCCTTGCCATGCACATTAGCACATAGAAAGTATGTGTTTCCATATTGCTACAACTGACTCAAACCAGGGGACGTTTTGTCCAATGAAAGTCCAATGAAACAAAGTCAACAAAGTCCAATGAAAGCAAACGACACTCACTCGCACCAAGATATTGTATGGAAGCAAACAGAAGCATCATCTACCTGGGATCTGGGACCCAACACTCAACCTGAAGACATTTTGGGATACCTAAATTAGAGGGAATAAAAACACTGTTAAACTGGATTGTCAATGCTCAAAAGCATTGTCAGCAAATTTTGGGTCCAGCCAAATTTTAAGCGGAACTAGTGAGAATTTGTGGGTATGATGTTTAGATTCATAATCAGACAAATGAGTGTTGAACCACATTTACTGTCACCATTAGTAATTCTATGATCAAGTTCCTCAAAAAAATAAATAAATAATAAGGAACAGAAAACAACCCAGCTGTCATGGTTATTTGATCACATAGGACAATTACTGTAAAGAATGAATTATGGCCTAAAAACGTCTCAGGAATAGTTGTTTTGCTCATCCTTAGCAATCTGAGCAGTTGAGTGACAAAAAAAAATTTAATTCAAAGCTAAATATGGTGTAAATGTCCTTTCGGATGCAAGAGATGAGTAAATGATCTGGAAACAATTAAGCAACTTACTAAATCCTAATACACATAAAGATTTCAAACATTAATCGACAATGGTGGGGAAAAATGCTGCTCAGTTAGCAACAATATTTAATTACTTTCTCAATTCATTTGTTAAAGATTTAATCAGTTTAAACTGGTCCATGCTTGAGATCAGCGGTTGATCCTTCTACAAGTTCTTAATAACATAAACAATGTCTGATGCACAGAAAAAGTACTGTTGAAACCAACTTTGAAATCGGGCAGCTCACATGAAATCAGCAACGACAAGCCAGTAATTCTCCCTGTTGTCTCCAAGGTATCTTCTTCAAATATCGTGAAATACCTTTAAGAGAAGATATTAGAAATATCTGCTCTTCTGGGAAGAGAAGATATTTCAAAGCTCTCGTTCTTTGGTTTCTCAGAAACGACAGTGTCTTGTTTTCAGATATATCGAAAATATTGTGAACATTGTGTCATTCAGAATTTCCTCTTTGTGGGACAATGAAGACTGTTTCTGTTTCTATTAATCAATTACAGTAAATATTGTTTTCTCAAAAATTTTAACTGGAAGCTCTCCACTTTAGGTCCCATCCCAAATCTTTCAGGGAGATTAGTCTGGTGGGACGTCACCTTGCAATGTTTCTCAAATTAAGAAAAATATGATTTACACTCACCTAAAATAGATTTAATCTTCTTCAAGTTATTAGTTTATGTTGAATGTAACATGATGGATTAAAAAAAGGATTTAATCAACTCCATGTTTTTATTTTATTTTCTGACAACTTATCAGCTGTGATGACAGCATTAACCAGAATGTAAGATAAAGACTTAAAGCAGAAATTTCCATGTAAAAAATATTAAAAACAAATGCAATATCGACTTGCACTGCTGCTCAAACGTATTTTACTCATTAAATGTTATTTAAAGATCTGGATTCCACTAAGGCCAGTGATCCCCTTTACAAAGAAGATATGAAATATCTACACCGTTCACAAATATTTCTTGCTACTTTTTTCTCAAGCTGTTTTTTTTTTTTTTACTTTTGGACAACCTGGAAGAATTATGTCTGAGACAGTTCACAGAAATTTGTAGCTCAATTTGGATCAGGTCTGTGATGCATCTGTTCCTCAAGTCTGAACATTTACTCTGCATCAAAGAAGAACTTCTATCGACAAAAGCATTTGAGCCTGACAATAAAAACAAATGAAACAGTCTTAATTGTTTGCCAATGTCTTTTCTGATGCTTGGAGACACTGTCATCGTCTTCTTAATCTTCTTGGTTTTTGTAGCATCACAGTACTTCATGTAGTTTTTTGTTTTTGCTACAATAAAACTTCATAGATCTGATCCTTGTTAATAATTGTTGCCATTCGGGGAGTCAAATGGCAACGACTTGAAGCAGTGACTGTCTTCAAGTCACTGCAGAAGGTTTTCCCAACTGGCTTCAGTTCCTCTTTAAATATTCTGGTGAAACTAAAACCATCTAACATTGCGTGTAATGCCTGAGTCAGATAAATTCAAGATGTCTATTTGGATCTCACGTCAGGAACTTCTTTGCCCATCAGTTACTTGGTGTGGTATCCAAAATATTGTTCTCCTTCCGCTGAACCATCTTCATTCTGAAACTGCACACTTCCTCATAAACATCTGTGAAGCACAATTTTGTTTTGGAAAAAACTTAATAAAATCACTATAGACTGTTTTTCTCCATTGTCAGAAGTTTGTTTTAGTGGGACAGGGCAGGTAGACTGAGAGATGATGTCAGAGCTGAGCAGACAAAACTGATTGTGAGTAATGCAGGGAATGTGATCATTGGTATTTTGTAATAATTGGTAAGCAGAGTGGTGTTGCTCAAAGATTACATTAGCGTTATTCTGTGACATGCCAGGTCTCCTAAACATGCTTTTCAGACAGTTTATCAAAGCTTGACGTATTTGCTATTCCATCATCATCTTCATGAAAGTAAAGTAACTGGTGCTGGACTCTGTCAGTCACTGGAAAATACTGGACTTATTTTTCTTCTCTCTCTACTCTTTCTTCTGACCACACTTATGGCAAATCAGTAGCTGTATTTCCTTTACAAATGGGTGCAAAACTCAATATTGTGCTAATGTCGAAGAAACACAATATTCCAACTGAAGCCTTTCTAATAAATAAGAAAAGCAATTCAAGTGACACATGACTAAGTTTAATCAGAATCATTATTTGAAGTCATTTAAGTAAAGTGAGTGTGAAAAGCCACTCCCACAGAACGATGTGGCTTGCTATAAATTCATCTGACCACCAGTAAATGTATCACACCAGATCTCTGGAGTTTCAGTGAGCAGAGATGGCGACCAAGATCTCCCACAACGCGAAGAAGAAGGAAGAACAGAGCATTAAAGAAAGATGCCGGGGCTTCATATCGATCCCGGTGACCGACATCAGTGTACTGGAGAAGAGGAAGGATGAGATGAGCACCAAGATGGAGATGCTGATCATGGAGACTCAGGCTGACTTCTGTAAAGCCCTGGAGGAAGTGGACGGAGGGACATTCAAGGTGGACAAATGGCAAAGGAAGGAAGGTAACACTGGAACCTTCAATGGTTTAACCTAAAACTGCAAATACTGCTCTTAAAAATAAAATTTACTCAAGTTTGTTGTGAATCTCTAGCAGACAATTCCAGATTTGATCAACTTTTCATTTGAAAATCCGTCAGAGCTCTGTTTCTGCTGTAAAGAAATATACCATCTCATCACATTTCTGTGTAAAACATACAGTTTCTTTAATAAAATGCATAAATTACAACTACTAGATTATGTCAGACATTAAAAAATAGCTAAATGATCATTACTTTCAATTAAAGTCAAACTGACTCAATTACAAACTGCAGAGGATTCCAACCTGCATCAACAGAAGAATCGACATGACTCCTTCGTTAATGCCTCTCAGCCTCCTCACTGTTCCTATTTGCTTTGTCAGACAAGGTTTTAGTTTGTTTGGTTTCGTAATATAAGGTATAATTCTTAACCTATTTTGTTATTCTTGTTCTGTTTTTATTATGAATCACTGAGATTATAATGTGTGTAAGATGCTCTTCACAAACAATATCAACAAACATACATGTTTAAAACAACTAATTTTCACCATTTTTGTTTGTTTTTAGGTGGAGGGGGAATCAGCTGTGTGATGCATGATGGAAATGTGTTTGAAAAGGCTGGAGTGGATGTGACAGTGTTGCGAGGTTGTCTGACTGAGGAGGCTGTGAAACAAATGAGAAGTGGAAAAAAAGTCCTCAAAGGGAAAGATGGTGTGTTCTGCTCAGAGTGATACTTTCCCTTGACACCTTCACTGCAGTTATCTAAAGTATAACTTGGCTCTGTTTTGCTTCAGGTAAGCTGCCATTTTGTGCCATGGGTGTGAGCTCCGTCATCCACCCCAAGAACCCTCACATTCCTACAGTTCACTTCAATTACAGATACTTTGAAATAGAAGAGGAGGACGGTGAGTCCCTTTTTAAAGCATCTGTGTCTTGGTGTCAGTGGCTCTATTGACTCTGTGGATTAATGATGAGTTTTGTTTCCTTCTCCCTGTTGCTTGTATTGTGTGTGTTTGTGTGGGTGTGGTCTGGTCTCAGGCTCCAAGCAGTGGTGGTTTGGTGGAGGGACAGACCTGACCCCGGTGTACATTGACAGAGAAGACGCCTTTCTGTTCCACAACACCCTGAAGGAAGCCTGTGACAAACATCACCCGAAGTACTACGCAGACTTTAAAAAATGGTACAGCTACTTCAGCGACTCTGACGTGTCTGTGCACATCAGCCTATGTGTGTGTTTTTAGGACTAATTCCAGTGAATTTGTGTCAATATATTAAGTACACTGTCACTGTTGATTTTTAAGAATACTAGAGGTCATACTAGTGTTGATGTGAACAGGATGGGTGGGGATAATCTTATGTGGCTTTACAACATCTTGTTGTTTTCTGTCCTAGACTTTAAGTTGGAACGTCCCTGTTGACTTGTTGTGTCCTCCAGGTGTGACAGATACTTCTACGTCCGTCACAGAGGAGAGACTCGGGGCATCGGAGGAATCTTCTTTGACGACCTTGACTCCCCAAATCAGGAGGAAGTTTTCAACTTTGTTAAGAGCTGCGCTCGAACCGTGGTGCCTTGTTATCTTCCCATCGTGAGGAAACATCTTAATGATTCCTTCACTCAAGAGGAGAAAGACTGGCAACAGCTGCGACGAGGAAGGTGAGTGGAAAATACATTTTCCATTCATCTATTTTCTTGCAATAAATAGATGTACCTAGTGGGGTTGGGAGGTCTGCTGGTGCTTATCTCCAGCTAAACATTTCGGGCAGGAGGCGACGTATACCCTGGACAGTTCGCCAGTCCATTGCAGAAAATGCATGATAGCACTCGAATCCCTAAAATGAATTAATTTCTCTCAAAACTGATAGCTTTTAGGATAAAAGACGAATATAGTGTTATGCTTTTTATTTGTCAAGGGATATCCGGTTGTCCTACAGTCATCAATATGCATTTTGAATCAATTTGAGGATGTTAACAATTTATTTAGTCCACTCTTTTTTTCTTCTGACATTACAAACTTTAATTTACTTTAATTAACTTTTGCAACAAGAATTGAAAGCTGTTTGAACTTATTGTGGATTTTCTCAAACTCACACTGGTTTAAAACAATAAATACAGGTTCCAGTTAATATATAAACCCCTACTAATGTTTGCATGAATAGGGGAGAGGATATTAAGGATTTTGTAAACATTAAGCAATTACTGTAGAATAGTATCACACACTTTTGTCTGGTACTTCCTTCCTTTTACTTTCCTTCTTTCCTCCACCCTCCTATCGTTTTTATTCTTCCTTCCTTTGAATCCGCCTGCTGTAGAAACTTATAGTGAAGTTTAATATTTTAAATTTAATGATGAATCAAAGCACTGTATTCTTTGGAAAGTTGAATCTGGAAAATTCATCTCAAATGTTTGCATTAAAGATGTGTAGGAACTCTGCAATGTGAAGAGTGTTTTTAAAATTGATGTTTTGTTTGTGTTGTAGGTATGTAGAGTTTAACCTGATGTATGACCGGGGAATAAAGTTCGGCCTCACCATGCCTGGCTGCAGAGTCCTCATGTCGCTTCCCCTTATCGCCAGGTAACACATTCGCTCTCCTGCTCTCTGTCCAATAGTAATCAGCCGTCTGTGTTGCCTGGTGACCGACTCCTCCTTCCTGTCCAGGTGGGAGTTTATGCACGAGCCTGGAAAAGATTCCCGAGAAGCGGAGATGCTGGAGGTTCTCAGAAACCCAAAGGAGTGGGTGTGAGCGCCAGTCACTGATTTACAGAAAGAAGAGTCTTTGTAGTATTTTTATAAAACTGTAACCTGTTTTACAAGACCTGTGTTTATCAAGAAATGTCAGAGGACTTTATTTTTTTCAAATCAGTCTCCTTAAAAGCTTTAAAATAATGTTTTAATAATGGAGCTTTGTGCTATTTGTCTCTTTCTTGTAGAATTCATATTGAATATACTAAATATTTAAACTTTGTTTGATCAATCAGGCCTAAAAAGCAGGAATAAACCGAGTCCTATATACAGTGCGTTATTTTTCTGATGTATCAGCTTTCTTTTTTTGTGCGGAGTTGTAAACAACACTTTGGTTTTGGATCATGTTTCAGAGGTTGGTTGTGAATCAATAAAGCTTTTCGTCCTGAACTTTATCTCAAATTTATTTTATTGCAGTTTAATGTATTTGAGCAACATGAAGTTGCTATTGTCTTATTAAAAGGTAAATCTTCTCCCTAGAGGAGCCTCAGAGGCACTAGCACCACCATTTCTGAAAGTAAATGTAAAGTACTCAATAAAAAACAAGATTTAAAAAATCCATTACATTGCAGGACTTTTTTTCCATTAAACTTTGTGTAGATTCAAAACCTGGTACAAATCAGCCACAAGAAAACATATTTTAATCTTTTTTTTAATTAAAAATTAATATCAAGCTTTCCACGAGACAAGAATTTATAACAACTTCCCTTGTGTTTAATTTTATATAACATTTTGCTTAGTAAGGCGTTGTAAAAAACAGCTCTGTGGAAATATTGGTACACTAATTTATGTAACCAAAGTGACTACCAGCACAGTCCAGTGTCAGAGCAAATGCTGAGGTTTACAGGTCAACTCACATACAACCTAAACAATATTTAGTGCTTAAGTTTTGCCAATGAAGGTTAGATGGGTACATTTGGTTTTTAGAGTGCTTATCGTTTAGGAAATATTGCATATAGATCAGAAGCACCTAGAGTAACATTGGCTCGTTGAATGAGATCTTCAACCAAACTTTTCTACATTTCATTAAACACTTCCTGTTAAGCATAGACACTTCCTGTCAGCCTCACAGCTTATTGTAGTACAATCACATTAGTATCAATGCATTTAATGAACTCCTATGCATTAAAAAAAAAGTTAACTTTCATACATATTATATATACAAATACAGTATGTAGAGGTGATTACACATGCTAAAAGTGGAGTTTAGTTATAGTGACACTTAATACAAACTCATTTCTTACATTTAATTTCCTAACAGCTCCAGAATCTCTTTTTTCTTGCCCATATTTCTGCCTCTGAGCAGAAACCCAGTTTTATGAGGGTTAATGAGCCCTGACTGTCAACAAACAGGGCAGATAGTTCTGACCTGACAAGGCCAAGTTCATGCATTACCAAGATTATAAGTAATGTGATTCCCACTTCGCTTCCTCCTTTTTATGTTCCAGTCTTCAACATATTCTCAAAGGTTGGATTAGTGCATTTGCTGGAAAAATAAACCATTTCAACCTAGATTAAAGCAAGAAATCTGCTAGTACTGTGTAAAGTATTTTGAAGTGTTAACTTCTTCTTTGTATCAGGGTCTATAATTATCTATCATAAAATGTGACGGGCTCCTTTTCACTTCCAGTCAGTACAAGCAGAAAAGCCACCAAAAGAGTTCCAGAAGTTAAAAGGCAGAAAAACGTCTGACTTTTGATTTCCCTCCCTCAGACAAATAACTGCACAGTTCAACAGCCTGGAAACTGAACGAGAAAGAAAAACCTTAAAACACAACTAGACACAGAAGCATTTCTAAGCATCCCTGGCAAAGTTGTGTAAAAAGCCATACAATAATTATTGCTTGTTAATGCAGTAGCACAATCTAATACTGAAATATTTAGATGAATCTAACAATTAAATCAAAGTATTTAGCAGCGGTAAAAACATTTACCCATATTAATATCAATAAAAAAAATATAAGAAAAGCATTTATTTAAATTTGATGTTAAGTGAGGAGTTTCTACTTGGTAATCTACACCTATTTCTCTGCAATAAAAGCATTTGACACAGAGACCCATTTCCTTTTGTAACTGGCAACTAAGCTTAATAGAGACCAATATTTATCCTCTCTGTAAAATTTACAGTTACCAAAGTGGAGTGAAGAGGGTTGTCAGTCTTCATAACAATAATTAGAGTCTATTTACATGTAAACTGGTTGAGTGATGCCAAAACAATGCCGTTCCAAGTTAGTCATGTACCAACAGGACATGACTTAATCCTGTTGGTACTAAGTCATCACAGATATTACAAAACCTAAAGAAAAACTGGACTTCTTAAATTCACCAACAAAGGAATTTCCCTTCTTATGTAACTGTGAGTTTGTTTTTTGCTTTTGGGATTTTATTAGGTGCTTAGATCAGATTAAGACTGAGATTAAGTTTTTTTTGGCAAAAAAACGATCAGGTTTGGAGTAAAGCGGAGAATGAATGTGTGTAAAAGCACATCTTTTACACACCGTTCCTAACGCTGGATGGTCTGGGAATCTGTGGGTCTGTTTCACATTTCTCCCACTGTATGCTCCAAGCGTGCATGTGATAGAACATTATTACCCCATCAACCAATTGCTAAGATTTTTAAATGCAGATTTACCAGTTAAACTGGCTTGCCATCGATTTCAAAGCTAAGTTCCTCCTTTTTACTGTAAGAACATTACATGGACAAGCACTGACTTATCTCCCTACTTCTCTGGCTCAATTTTCTATTGCTAGGTTATTGTGCTGGAATGAAACGTGCATTTAGTTTAAAGCTTTTTACACATCTTTACCAGGGTTTATTGGATTAGCCAAGATCACCTAATCCAACACCAAGTCCAAGACATGTCTCAAATCCACAAACATGTCTGACTCTACATGTGTTTGGACAAAAAACAGATAATTAGATATTAAGAAAAAGAAAGGTTGAAATAATGTACTTTTGCCTACATAAGTCTCAATAGTTTGGCACTGATCCTCTAAAAAGCATCAATCCAACCCTCATAAATGCTGGTCTGAATTATAGCAATAAAACCCTTTCATCCTTCACATGAGGTGTTGTTTGGTTTTGGTTTTACAGTATCACTTAATCCCTTATGCATTACTTCACCTTGATGATGAAAAGGTTAGTGCAAATTTCAACAGAACTGGCACCGGAAAAGTTTGCATCAGTCCACTGAAATGTGTGTGCTTGCTGAATGTTGAAGGCTGGTGATATCACTCCTAAACAATAACATGGTCTTCACGAAGGTCAGGGCTTTAGTTTGAGATGTTTTCACTTCCTTTGACCACTGCTGATTCTACCGGAGCTGGAGTTCACGATGTCTTCGTACTGAGGAGGCGGCTCTGTCTCTATCTGGACATCTGTGTGGCCCACAGCCTCTTCGTATGATGGCGGCGGATCTCCTGCGCTTCCTCTCCCCAACGTGATCTCAGAACCTGGATAGGCCGGGCTGCTGTGGATGCTGAGTTCTGATTGGTCACCATGATGGTAATCCCTCCCCCACTGGTCCATGGAGACCACAGACAGGACGTGGTTGTGATGCGAGTGCCCCAGGCCTGGGCTGCGCTGCGAGCGCTTGCGGGAGTGGCAGCGCCAGGCAGTGATGGCGACGGCGATGACGATGAGCCCGACCAGCAGCAGCGGCACGATCAGGTAGAGAGATTGGGCCCCGCTGACCATGGAGTCCAAACCACCAGGTGGACTGCTTTCCCGGACATATTCCTCCCAGAATCGCTTCTGCATGTTAAGAAAGAGACAAGAGTTGACAAAGACGGCAATAAGTCTGATTCAAAGGAAGCTAGAGAGTCGCAACAACTTGTCCCATTTCCTGTCTGAATACTTTTTGCATGAGAAAACAAAGACAGGCAACAACAATCCTTAAACAAAACGAGAACAAAAACCTCTCTGGTCCCTCACAATGGCTTTACAAATCTGCCCGCCTGTCTAGTGTTGCTCTTCCTGCTGATAAACATCACTTCCTGAAAAAAAAACACCCACATTCCACAGAAACAAACACTTTGGTTTCAGAATTTCACTGCTGGACACAAAATCACCACAAATAATAATAACAATGATAAAAACTTTTTTTTTCTTTAACATCATGTTTATTTAGGTTGTACAATCAAAATAATATTGATTTATGAATTTTAACTGCAGGTTTAAAAAAAATTGGCTTCTGTAGATTTCTGCCCTACCAGAAAATGTCTAAAATTGTGAAAAAGGAATCAGAATGTTCAATGGTGAACCGTCTTCAGTTTTCAGAACCTTAAGCAGAACTGATTATAATAAGACTTTAGTAAAATATCCAGAACAATACACTGCAGATCCTGCACAAAGTAGTAGGGATTATCCCTCACCTAATAATTAAAGCAGCTTTACCCTAAAACACAAGTAAAATTCATCCTGTAGGTTCTCTAAATCCACATCAATCAAACCATAATTATCTTTGACTGCTGCTGTAAAGTAGGATCATTGAAACACGGTTTTGAGGATTTTGTGTTGCTTCATCTTCAGTCTTTTAGGTTAATGTTTGATTTGAACACATAACTTGGTAAGTTGAAATCTATGCATGGACAAGAGCCCAAAGCTAATCTAAACAATGCAGTTTTTCCAAAAAGCCCCCCAAAGCATTCACCATGCCTATTTTGGTAAGGATGACAAGAACCCTTATTAAAATTATTCAAAGGAGAAAAAAAGAATATACTTTAAAATATTCAGCTTTTATACGAATTAACCAGTGAACAGGAATTGTATTTCATCCTAAATACTACAAATTTCAACTGAATCGTTTTAAAAATTAGACGTAGTTGATTAGTTTGTCAGAACTTTTTGTTTGTAATTAATGACAACTCCAAGTTTAAACCTGACATTCCTGTTTCAATGTGGAAAAAATAAGAAACAGAAAAAGTTTATTAAAAAAACACAGTTAAAGCAATCACTAATAAGTATTTTAAAGAGCGGGGGTATAGGAACAAACATGGCATTGTGAACACGTTGATAAAGCCCAACATTTTAAACGAAAATAAAGTGTCATCAGATAGCCGCTGATCCAAAACAGAAGGCCAGCTCCACAGAGAAATTAATCACTAGGCACTAAATCAACATTCTTCCAGGACCAACATGTTACAAAATAAAGACATGCTCCAACTTTATGATTATTTTTTAACTAAAGATACAAAACCTGCTCTACTGATAAAAGGGGGAAGTACAACTTCCTTTTTACAGCAGAGGAAGGTGTTATTTGTGGGACAGGTGATTTTGCTCTCTAATTTTTTTTCACCAGAATAAACAAATCAAATCTAAGATGAGAAATTTCCAAGCTTTGTGTGAGACTATGCTACCACAAAAAAAACAAATGTGTTTTTTTTTTACATCTTTAAATAATCCTGAAAGATGATGATGTTCCCAAACAGAGAAAATGGGCAAGTCTAAAGTGTAATCATTTATCTAAAAGATAAAATCAATCTCCTGTGACGTTTCTCATCTGCCGTACCGTCTTCTCGTCGTTCTCGAAAGCTTCGCGGGCCTCCTCGTAGGTGCACACCTCCTCACGGCATTCCCTCTGAATGTTCCCAAGCTTCATCTCTTCTAACAGGAAGTTGGCCCTCCGCAGCCGCCTCAGCACCGAGTGGGCTGAATTTGCTGGCAGGAACACTGCGAAGAAAAGAGTAACAGGAGAGGAGCACAGGAGGGAGACACAAAGGAGGGGGTGTCAAAGACAATGTCAAAGTGAGGGAAAGGATACAAGACTCAGAAAAGTGTCAGAAAGACAAAAGCGACAAGCCGAGACTTCTAAACGGGAGAAAAGAAAAGTTAGTAAATGGAACGGCATGTGGGAGGGAAAAAGGCACAAAATTAAAACAAAAACAAAAAGCAGAAAAGTAGCTATAAAATTGGGAGAGTGAAAGAAGTGTAGGCCAAAACAAAAGAAGCAGAGCAGAGGCAAGCGATGCTCGGCGCCCACATTTCTGCATATAAACAAAAGCTTATTTTATTTGGCCATCCATTCCCAGACCACAAGAGAAAGTGGAGGAATTAACTTAAAGAGACAAAGCGTCTCATTTGGACGTCCAGAGCATAAACAAAACCCTCCAAGAGACCACATCATGATCTGGTTCTGATATTACCAAGTAATTACGTTTGTTTGACTCATAACTTGGAAGAAATTTGATCAATAAGATGTGACGAGACAACAAAAAGAAAAGAAAAAAACGAGACAAGGGGAGGCAGACTTTAAGCAGAAAAAAACCAGAATGGGGATTGTTTCTATTGTTTTCCTCCAGGATCACATTCCAGTGATTCAAAGCAAATAATACTGAGAAAAACCTCACAACAATTAACAACAAATACCCGTCAGTAAATACCAGGTTTCTATAAGTAAGCACGTCTTGACAAATGTTTAATGTAAAAGTATTCCAACAGGATATGAACTTTTGAATCTATCAAGTTAAGAATGCAAATGAAAAGTGTCTAGGATTCAGAGAATTAGAGGTTTCTCTCCCAACATGGGTGCACAGCCCTTATTTGTTGGTTGTTTATGTCTGCATATAGATATTTGTCTAGTTCTTATTACAAATGCATCGACATGCGTCTCTTAAAAGATAAAATTTTGAAAATTACTACCAAGTTTGAAAAACATATATTTAACCTATTGCTTATATTGCCATTAAGACTTGCATATTTTAACGTCCATTTACATAATTAATTGAAAAATCTGAAATAGGGACGACTGCAGTGAACCATTCTTTACCGTTCCTGACCAGATTTTGCAAGTTTCCACTGATATTTTGATCATTTATCTTTGGCGAGGACCTCAAAGTCTTGGCGGTTGTCAGGTCTCCTTGCCATCACCCTAGTCTTATATTTTCTCAAACATTTTCAAGTCAGCATTCAATCCAGGCCACTCCGAAACGTTAATTTGGCTTAAAGTTATAGGTAACTTGTAAAGCAAGTTAAAAGATGTTATTTATTGTAAAACTTCTTATTGTAATAATAATTTATATTCATGTAACAATGATACATTCCTATTAACGGTTTGAAAACCTCAAAAATTGATCGGATTGTCAGAATTGTTATTTTTACAATCGTCTCCGCTCCATGAGAGCATAAAAATAATATTAATAAAAAACATTAAATTGAGTCACTGTGTGCAGGTTGGTGATGTGAATCCTTCTTCTTTGAGAAGAAGCCTATCTCAAAATGTTTGTTTCTTTAAGAGTGTTATTTATGTTTGTAGGTCCTTGACAGCAAATACATGCATTCACAGTCATACACTTGCCTAAAAAGACTGAAAAAAAATAAATAAATGCTGTTTTGGTTATCATAATGAACAACACAAGAGCTTGTGATAAAAATGTCAAAAAAAGAAAATTCCTATAAAATTAAACATGACTTTGAAGAATGATTTTTTTAAAATAATCCACCATAAAACTAATGTAATGAGAAAACAAATTCACACCATTCATTCACAGAGTAAAAAGTGACTCATAGTGACTGTGGTCTTGACTGGATGGGCCCCTAAATGAGACAGTGCTCAGGGCCTCATTAGAGCTTCAGCAGGCCCTGGTGTTACGGTGAAACCCAGCAGTGTACTGTAAATAAAGAGTGAATCAACTTACCACTCCCCATGATTCCTGCCAGTATGTTTGGGGTGACTTATCTGTGGGAGGAAAAAAGTCAAACATAGATTAAAACAATAACATCCACTCATCAACCTATTTTTGTCTGATTAACTCATACTTTGTCCCAGCAAATCCACCAATAACTCAATAATATCCCACATGAGGACTTGTTTTCATTTAGTAATAGATGATTTCTCACCTCTCTGATATTTCTTATAAACAGCTGGATGGCAAATAATAACTGCAGCTCAACTCAACATGCCTCAAATAGAGGTCAGTGTCTGTTGTCACATTTTCCAGGGGCATTTCTGAACGGGACGTGTTAGAATAAAAACAATAAGCTCCCAGATCCCAGCTGAAACAGACGACGTGCAGCGGGGAAATCTCAAAACAAAGCGCCGCCGCCCCGTTACAACAACAACCTGAAGCACCGACAGCACCGTTCAACACCCCGCTCAACAATCCCCTCTCCGTTTGAACGCGTGTCGGTGAAGCAGGTCCGAGTTGGTCGGAGCTCCGAACCAGAAACAGCTCGGCTGGATCCGATAAACCTCCAGCTCAGGATGCGATTTAATGACCGACATGTGGCTCAAAAGGCCGGATTTCCTTTCGACGCAGACGAGGAGACGGAGATCTCTGCCAGCTGTTGCTTCTCTGTTCGTGAACACACCGAAAAGAAACAACAGACATTAAACACATCACCGCTGCTTACCTTGTTTCGATGCCAAAAATCTGCATAAGCGACGTCTCTCGTCGACCCTCCGTTAGTCGGAGATGCTTTGCGCACAGTGCGCAGGCGCGAAGGTCTGTTTGCAACAGCGGTCCCTCTCTCCCCAATTAAAGACACAGATCTATCTATCTATCTATCTATCTATCTATCTATCTATCTATCTATCTATCTATCTATCTATCTATCTATCTATCTATCTATCTATCTATCTATCTATCTATCTATCTATCTATCTATCTATCTATCTATCTATCTATCTATCTATCACAAACCTTTTAAATGAAAATCAAAATAAAGTTTCCATTTTTTGATTCCTTCCAAATCACTTGTGCTTTGGCATGTTTTTCACACCCTGAGTGTTTAGTTTTGTTAAAATATCAACAGAGATAACCACAACTGCATGTAAATGATAAAACATCTTCAAGAGGAAATCTATCAAGCCAACCTGCCCTTATGTGAAAAGTGAATCACGGTTTGAGGAATGCCGCACTTTACTAGCCATCGCAGGCCTACATCCAAAGGTAACCATGCAGAATAAAATTCTTGACATTGGATAGATCTACAAAACCATTTCTAAGGCTTTCAAAGAACCACAGTGACAGCTATTATCTAGAAAAGGACAAAACATGGAGGAGGAGAAAACCTTTCTCCAAGAGCGCATTAACAATTTGTTCAAGCGGACACAAAAGCAACTGGAACAACAGGTTATTTTGCTGTTTTGTCGTTGCAGGCCTCATTTGTCTATTTTTGTTTCTTCACCAGGAAACCAACTCATTTAAATAAGCTCTACCATTCCAGAAAGAAAAAAATAGTACAATTTCCAGCATGAAGCAAAAAGCTTCTTGATGCAGGATTTGTGGAGTTTCTCTGCAGCTTTTAAAGAGACTTTTCACAATTAGTTTTGGTGTCCTTTTAGTTAGTTAGTGAGCTAGTTAGTTATCTAGCTGGTAGAGAGCTGAAGAATTATTACAAACTTTACGATTAGATACCAAGAACTTTAGACTGTGGTTTCTTACGTGACAATATTTTGTGCAGCATTGAGACTGAATGTAAAATCACATAAATTCTTATTCCAGCTCAACAAATTGAAAAACTCTGAAATTAATTTAAAAATAAAATCAACCCCTCACTATCATAATTAATAATTTCCCAACTACATGAAGCGTTTGACATTTTCCAGTTTCTACTTTGTTTTGTTTTTGCTGAGATTATCTCATAGTCCAATTAATTTTGGAAGGGGGAAAAAATTATTTAAATTTGTTTCTATATTCAAAATTAATCTTTTGAACACTCAAATTGAGTTGTAAGAGTTTCCACCCATAATCAAACATTTACTTTGCAACTTCAAAGAAGTAAAAATTATGGGGGTTTTTGTCCATCATAAATTGTTCTACAGAGATGCATGAGAGTCACAGGCTCTTAAAAACAGGTGAACATAATCTCCCTATTTTCTATGCCCCATGTCCCTGCAGTGTCACAGGAGGACAGGTACCCGTCTCAAGAGACCACTTTTTCACAAAAGCCATTGGCAATTTTTATTTTTTCAACAAATAAAGAGCTTACATAAATACATTTGGCAAAACATTTAAATTTTTAGCAAATTACAAAAAAAAAAATCTGTATTGTTTTTATGATAGCCTGTTTTCCTTATAAGTTTGAAGCCTTTTCCCACTTTTCTAACATTATTATCTGTGTGTGTCCATGTGTGTGTGTTTATGTAAATCAATATGAATTAATTTTGCAGTTCTTCCCTAAGGAAACAGAATTAGGAGAGTTTAATTAAAAAATAAATGAGCAGCGAAAGCTCTACTCACAGCATCTGTGGGTGAGGGTAAGACAAAAAAGGGTGTAAAAATGCCCAAGACTCCAGAATCGTTGAAGCTTGAGCTACAAAGCTGATGTTGCACGTGGGATCAAAATCAAATCAAATCAAATCTAATTTTATTTGTGTAGCACATTTTAGCAACAAGACATTTCAAAGTGCTTTACATCATAAACACAAAAACACAAAGTCATGCAACATATAATAGACAATACATTGTTACATATTAAAGTTCAAATACAATTCTAAACAGGTGTGTTTTTAGTTGAGATTTAAAGGAAGTCAGGGTTTCTGCTGTTTTACAGTCGTCTGGAAGTTTGTTCCAAAGTTTTGGTGCATAGATGCTGAAAGCTGCTTCTCCTCTCTTGGTTCTGGTTCTGGGGATGCAGAGCAGTCCAGAACCAGAAGACCTGAGAGGTCTAGAAGGTTGATACAACAACAGCAGATCTTTGATGTATTGTGGTGCTAAACCATTCAGTGATTTATAAACTAACAACAGTATTTTAAAATCTATTCTTTGAGCTACAGGGAGCCAGTGGAGGGACTTTAAAACTGGTGTCATGTGCTCTATCTTCCTGGTTTTAGTGAGAACGCAAGCAGCAGCGTTCTGGATCAGCTGCAGCTGTTTGATTGATTTGTTGGACAGGCCTGTGAAGATGCTGTTGCAATAATCAATGCGACTAAAGATAAACGCATGATGAGTTTCTCTAGATCTGGCTGAGACATTAGTCCTCTAATCCTGGAGATGTTCTTCAGGTGATAGAAGGCCGACTTTGTAACTGTATTTATGTGGCTCGCAAGGTTCAAGTCCAAGTCCATCAATAGTATTAAATATGAGGAATTTGTTTACATGCTTTGATTCTTGAGCTCTGTGAGTGCTTGCCAATACCTCTCACTAAAATAACATTTCAAGAAACTCAGGCCCACACATTAAAGTCATTAAAGTGAGACGATAAAATGTTTAAATGAACGGATTCTGTAAAAATGTACACAGAAACAGGTTGCAGTTTTTAAAAAAATGATACTTTGACTTTTTCGTTTGTCTTTCATTCACTCATTTTGGCATTAAAATAAATGAATGCATGTTTTGCTGGTAATAGTAGCTGCACAGAGACACATATAATCCCAGGCACTAGGACCCAGCAGGTGCAGCATGGTGTTTTGGTGATATGCAGCTACTCTGTCCTGTCAGCAGAGCGCACTGTGCGCACCAGCGGGACGCGCAGTCAGTGAACATCCTGCAAACACAGCGCGGCCACGGACAAGGGTTTCAATCTTGACACAACCTGAACATCATTCACCCTATGGACTTTAGGAAAGACACGAACTCACAAATGTTGCTGTCTTTTTTACTCCCCTTCTGTGTTTGAAGTTGCCAGACACTTTTGTTGGGACATGGCTTCATCCGTGAGCGGCACAGAGGAGGTGCGGGTGTCGGGGTTGAGGCCACTGAAGTTTGTGGGACTGGTGTGCGTCTTCCTCGCGCTTTGCCTGGATGTCGGGGCCATCGTGAGCCCGGCGTGGGTCACGGCGGAGGACCAGTACTACCTGTCCATGTGGGAGTCCTGCTGGAAGCCCGTCAGCTCCGTGGACTGGTCCTGCAGCAGCGCGCTGGCCGCCGGTGAGAGAGTGGGGTCCAATCTGTTATTTGGTAGTTTTTAAACCAGCTTAGCTCTGTTTATTTATTTATTTTTGAGTCTTTCACTGTCAAATGACAGAAATGTGGGTGCAGCAGACACCCACATTCATATTTAAATGTGCGCGTCGGCAACAAAGAATCCCAGATTCCCTGCAGTCACAGCACTGCTGAACCAATCTAGTCTGTATGAAATTATAAAACATCACCCACAAGAGGGCTAAATGTTAATTACTTTATAATTAACTCTTGCCTATTTAACTTAAACCGCAGAACTTAAGAGATATTGCGTAAAACAGTCTTAGAAATCAAAGTTTACCCCTGAGTGTAAGTCTTGAGACATGCAGTAGTTTTCTGTCTGTTCCTGTGAACTTTTTTCCTCTTCTTGCTGTAGTGCTTCCCCATTGCACTTAGGATGAAGTGGGAATCTTTCCCAACCAGGAGCTCTCCAGATGGGGTTTCATTTGGCCTTTTGTTGCGTACAAAATGAGCCTTTGTGTGGGTTTCTCCACCGGGCAAGGAGCAAGGCCAACTCAGAATACAGAGCTCCCCAGAGATCCAGATGCCTGGAGATTAGTTACCAGGGAAACAATTGAGGCATTTCAGAAAAGCTGGTTTTGTCCCTTTTAGGGTTCTTCCTCATGGAGTCCCCTCTCTGAGTTATGTCTGGGAGCATTTTGTGGGTTACCTCATTTCATGTTCAATATAAAGTCCATCAGTTTTTGATTGAGTAATAAGCTGGAAAATCATGATTCATATTTGTATTTATGTCAATGCTAATATGTGATTTGATGCCACTTATGCCTCGGGCCAGTTTTGGATAGCAGCCTCTAACAGGTATTTTTCAGGATCGTCCTGCGTTTTGTCAATTAATTTTCTCATGATCTCTGACCCTCTCCCCATCAAAATAAAGCATCAGCGCAGCATGATGCTTCCAGCAGCATAAGGACAGTGTGTTCGTGGGGATGTGCAGTTTGAGACCCAAACAGAGCATTGTATATTTATGTCAGCAAATCTGAGCTTTGTTCTTATCTGACAGAGCATCTTTTCCTTCTTCCACCACATGTTTGCTGTCTCCTGCAAGGCTTGTGGCAAATTTTATTTTTCAACAATATTTTCCTTTTTGCCTCTATTCTCCCATCTTTACTTCTTAAAATGTGCAAGAAGCTTAAATTTGTTCCAGGAACATTTTTCACACTGTAACATTGCTCACCAACAGCCTTTTTTTTTTAATCGTCCTGTAAGCCAGATGTAAATGTAAATGTAAATGCGTACAAGTAAAGCATACGTTGGTTTATATAGTTTTAAACCCACTGACTGTCCAGCATTTTCTGCCTGTGCTCTCCTGTTTACCTATAAATATTTCATTTTCTTCACTCCCTCTGGGCTTCTCCTGCGTGCCGCGCGGTGAATCGTGTTTTTGTTAGCTTGACAAAATGTTTTCTTTCTGTCTGAGATGGGTCACGCTGGCCCCCGTTCCTCTGTTAGCGCAGACAAAGTGCACGTTGGTGCCACATAAAGATGCGCAGCCTCTGTGTCAGCTCTCAGCAGTAGCATGCCACAGTGAATGCACACAGCAAACTTCCTATTTCCTTAGGCTTGTGCTTGGCTAAGGATTATTGATTTGAGGCCCTGAAATCACCAGCTGCCCTTCTCCTCTATCTTTTTTCTTCTCAAACCACTCCACCCCCAAAATATTTTCCTTGGTGTCATGCTTGGGGCATTAACTGAATCTTGTTAGTGTGAAACTGCATCTGGCCACATAGATGTGTTTGAACTTGATCTATGAGTCAGCGTATGACCTGGAAAAAACAATAAGATGCTGTTTGTTAGAGGTTTGAAATATATCTGAACAGATGAAACTCGATATGTCAATACACCTTACAAAAAGATCCCAAGCATGATGTTTCGATTCAGTCTAACCTTACTCTTGGGATTATCAAAAATGATTATTACTTTGAGAATTGTATCCATTTCTCCAATGCCAGAATTTTACATACATATTTTTTTGTTTTGTTTTGTTTTTAACAGCTTAGAGAATCCTATATGACTTTGTCATGGCTTTTTAAGTTCCAGATTGGTTAATTCACATTATTTTAGTTAATTGGAGACACACTTGTGCTTGCATTTTAAGGCAAAACCTCAAACACTCTTTTTTCTTGTATGAAAAGTTTCAAGGGAACTTAAAGCTAAATCAGTCAAGATATCAGTAGGAGAATTTTGTACTTTCACAAATCAGCCACATCCTTGGGTTCAGTTTCCAAATAGTATCTTATATAGTACAACATATGCAAGCATAAATATAATGGAAATATTTTCCCATATCATTCAGGAAGCAATGAGGTTTTATGTCCCAAAGATGAGTTCTCCTGCAAAATGTGTGTTTGAGCGCCAGAACAAACACAAATGAAGAAACTTGTTTAATCTTGTAACAGCGTGTCATTTTCCATTAAATGAGTCCTGGGGCCTGAACTGTAGGGCCACTCTTGGATGAAGAGGCAATTACTCTAGAAGTTACACAAATGGATGATAGTTTGCAAATACACTCAGGAAAAATGACCTAATGTTTTTGAGTCATGTCTGGTGGCCTGATAAAGCTAAGGGTCCATTCATCAGGAACAACAATGCACCTGGTCATCCTCATTTTGTGTGTGTTTTGCTTCAAGAAGGAATGGTGACTTCACAAAACACAAGATGAAAATAGCATTACCTGGAAATATTAAAGCAACATCTCCAAACATCAGTGAGGATTAGGCACCGATGTGTCTTGCAAATGACAATGACCATAATCTTACCTACCCAACTTAGTAACAGAGACATTAAAGCCAATGGTTTGGTTCTGTCCCAGAGACAATTTGTAGGCAGAGTTGAAAATGTGTGTGTGCGCAAAGTGACCTTCAATCCTGACTCACTTACACGCATGTTCTGCCAGGAGGAATGGGACAAAATTCAAGAAAACGTGAATAATAATGGCATTATTTTAGCATTAGGTAAATCCTAAGTGACTGAAACAGACATTAAGAAAATTGTTATCTTTTTTACAGAGAGGTATGTAAGTATCTCAGTTGTACTGTATATTTCTCTCACAATAACACAGACAGACTGGGAGGTGGGGTCAGAGGTCATGTTTAAACCGGCACAGGCTCGACATTGGGCTTGGAATGTGGAGCAGTCATGCAAGAGCAGTGTGTGTCGATGCCAGGCTGGTGTGAGATGAGGGGACGACTGTGGCGCCAGCGCATGAGACAGTCCAGCTCAGTGAGAGGCGGTGAAGGCAAAGCACATTAATAATATAATATTGAGTAATATTGATCCCATTTCTGGAAGCTTATCTCTTGTCCGAGGATGGTCACAGCTCAGTGATGGCCTGGTTGAGGTGGCAGTAAAGGGCTGGAGCCAGGGGACTCTGATCCAAGCACTTTCTGGATTCTCCATCCTTCTGATGTGAAGGATGGAGAAAAGTGTTTAAAAGTGAAATGAAATACTCGGGGCTCTTCTGTGACACAGTTCTGCCTTAGACAAAAAGACTGAACTGAGACCTCGAAGGTTTTTCTCAATTAACACTTCACATGCACGCACGGGAAGCGTAATTAAAGCTCAGATCTGATCTTCTCATGCACGGTATCTCCTTTTCCATCTGTCATCATGCAGGGCACAGATTAATATTTGGCACTTCTTGCTCATCAGAGCCTTTAAGCACTCCCAAATCTGGCTGTGTTTCTTGCTCAACACACAGGCTCTGCTCCAAATCTGACATGAGACAACTTTCTGCTTCCTGATGTTTTCGTGAGCCCACTGATAAAGCTTGGCCAATTGAAACCGACCGCATGCTGAAGGCACCGAGCTGACCCAGGGACGATATTAGAGCAGCGGCGTGCTGCGTGACAACCGCAGGTCAAGACACTTCAACCCCTTCTTATTTCCTGTGAGAGGCAGCAAACACTGAGGGGTCCATGTGAGTTGTGTAACAAGAAGTGTGCTCTTTCCAACATCCTGTGGTGACAAGTCCCATTTATAACCTCCAAATCCTGGACCATATTTGGTCAAAAGTAGCTGATGTTTGTTTATATTTGAGCGACTTGGCCTCTGGTTTAAAGACCCCTTCCAAAAAGAGTGGGAACTGTACTTTAAGCAGCTTATGTCTCTCCACTTTTCTTCCTGCTGGTGAATGTTTTGATGATTTTCTGCCCCAAATGAGAGGAAATCTTCTTGGCAATGCTCAATCTGTTTTTTTTTAACTTCCTGGACTCCTTAGAGGCAGAAAAAAGATGAAGCCTGTTCAAACTACTGTCTTTGAATGTGAACGCTCTCACCTACTGTATAACTGATTCACGCCTCTGTGCTTTGATGTCAAGTCTTTGCTCCACCCTCCGATTTAAATGATTTCCTTCGGTGTTATCAGATTCCTCCCCATAACATCCTCTTCATGTTTACATATTGATCTCCTCTTTCCGTGAGTACACAGCAACAAGTAAAGACATAGACCTCTAATCTATAAAACAATAACATTATATCTACAAACAAACATGAGCCTGTCTCCAGTGACCTGCTATCTCAAACTCATGCTTTAATTTAGCTCAGGTTTTAAAAACTGTGGTCTTAAGCTTAAAACCAATATAACCAACTGAAGAAAAATGACAAATAGGTTTAATATTTTTTCAATATATATAGAAAACATTTGCTGTAAATTTATATATTCAATGCCCAGAATTGGCAATTTGTAGCATGAAATCAGGGTTCATCTACCAGCTTTACACATCTTCTGACTGGTATTTTCTGCCCATTTTTTTTTTATTTCATCAGCTCAGTCAGACTGAATGTCTTGCCATCGATTCTCATGTGGATTTAGGTTTTGGTCTTTGGACCATTCTGAATGGGCTTTTCTGTAAACCATTCCACTGGAGTTGTGTTTTTGTCTTTGGGGTTGCTGTCTGGTAAGTCTCTTTCCTCAATGATTATTTTGAAACTTCCAGCAGATTTACTTCACATTGCATCTTGCCTTGAGGGCAAGATAAATGCAAGAAATGCATTTTATTTAGAAGAATACAAATGTGTGCCACTTTACAGATTTTAATTTATTAAAAAAAAGTTTGAAAACCATGTAACGGTTTTCATTCAACTTCATAATTATGCTCCACTGTGTCTATCTCATAAAATCCCAAAGCAGACACTGAAACGTGCAAAATGTGAAAAATCTCACAACTCTGGCATGGCTGTTATTTCCAGCTGAGAGTTTTTTTGGTAGAGATCGTCAGTGGAAATGCTGAGAACGCTGCTGCGCTGGCATCAGCCAGAGACGATGGAGGAATTCTCATTATCCGAGCCGCCACCTCACAGAATAACTTTTTCCTTCTATTGCACTGGCCATCATTACTGAAGTGCTGAGATCTGTGCTTAGTAAAAAGAAAGAAGCATTTGTTTTTTGTCAAGTCGGAGGGAGCTGTTCTCTTGTCTGTGGAGTGGTTCACCTCCTTCATCTGACACTGGTCGTTGAACCGAACTGGCTTTGGAATGTAAACATGATGGGGCATTGACAGAACCTCAGACGGTGGAGCCTGCCCACTTTCTGACCAGAAATACTTTTAGTTTACATTGTGGTAATTTAGCAGCACCTCAAATCCATGGAGTAATCTGCTTTTCTGACAAAGATGGAGAAAACTTTTCTTTACAAAGTGAGCCTTTATGGTGTGAGCAACCTCTGTAATACTTTTTATCCTCAATCTATCAAGTTTCATACGAGATTTAAGCCTGGATACTAAGATGGCAGTGGAAGAAGTTGCTACTTATTATCCCTCAACTAGACGAACATTACTCTGGAATTACCTTTGTTATGATGCATCTCAGACTGGTTTCATGATGTTCTCTGTCATTTCTGCCCCTGTGTTTGGTTTCAGACTGGCAGATCGCAACGTTGGCCCTGCTGCTCGGAGGAGCAGCCCTCACCCTGCTGTCCTTCCTCGTGGCTCTGGTCTCCCTGTGCTTCGGTTCCAGGAGTCGCTGCTACAAACCCGTGGCCGTCATGCTGTTCTCCGCAGGTCAGTCCGTTTCTCCACGGCTATAGTGACCATCTCAAATGCATGTTTATTCCTTGTCCTCATTGTTGATCTCTTTTTGTTTTTTACAGTGGTTCTGCAGGTTTGCAGCTTGGTCTTGTTCCCAATCAAGTTCATAGAAACAGTCAGTCTGAGGGTTTACCACGAGTTCAACTGGGGCTACGGCCTGGCCTGGGGATCCACCATCTTCTCTTTCGGAGGCGCCATCCTGTACTGCCTGAACCCCAAGAACTATGAAGATTACTATTGAAAATGTCACAAAGGAGAGAAAACCCCCAGTGTTTCCATGCTGTTGTTTAATAAACGTTCTCTGTCCCAAAGTGCACAACCACAGACTGGAAAACAGGAAAATACAAAACGCTTGTTGACGGTGTTTGGACTAAACTCTTCCGTTTGATGCTGTGAACTCCCAAACTGGACAGATGCCCATGAGTTTCATTAATAGGCTAAACCACAAATCCTAAGCAGAAATTCAAACCCAGCCAGAAGACATTTTGAGAGATAATGTCACTCATCAGATAATTCTGTGCAGCTCATGTTGGTCGTAGATTTGAGCAGAATATATGGAACAGTGGAATAATAAAGTAGTGAGGGCAGAGAAAAGTCTGCGGTGATTTCAGGCCAGCGTAGGGAGGAAGACGTCCTGCTCGAGTTATATCCTGGTGATGACAAAGCGAGGAAGACAGGGTAACATTTTACATTTCCCCAGAGATGCGCCGAGCTGGACCTTAAACAACCTTTATTTCCCTTTCTACATAAATAAAAGGGATCATGGAGCATTATTTTATCTTCTTCGCTTAAAACTCGCAATAAATAAGGGCTATTTTAACAGAGAAAACATTCCACAGACACCCATTGATTATATGATTCTAGTCAGAGAAACATCTGCTGGGTTATCACTAACATAATCAAGCACCAGTTGCAGTGTCAATTTTCCAATACAATAGTGGTCACATTATTTTTAAATATATCTTTTGTGCTATATGTAATATAATGAAAAAGTATGCAATCCTAGAAGAAGAACGGGAATTAAAATGGTTAATTGCCATGCTTGCTGAGTGAATAGATGTCTGAATCAGGGGTGTCCAAACAGCGGCTCCTGGGCAATTTATGACCTCTGACAACAATTCAAGAATGGATAAATTTGGTCCAGTGGTTCAGACGCTAGATGCAGAAGTTACACTTTGTAAAAAAGAAGAAGAAAAACAAGATTTTCTTTGTTTGTTATTAAAATGTACAATGTTTAGGAGCAACACGAAGTATTTGGCTTTTGCTAATCAAGTATTTGGCTTTAGTGTTATTTGGCTTTAGAAAATGCTGCCACAAACATCCTGCAATCATTTCTTAAGAGCAACACCAGTGGTCTAAACTTGACTAAACGCAGAAAATATTTACAGTAGTGATGCTTATCCTTTTCTTATTTCTAAAAAGGTTTTAGACCAAGTCTGTATAAGTCAACCAACCAACAAAATTTAGGATGTCGTTGGTCTTTAAATAAGGCAAAGGTATGAGGTCCAGTTTATATTTCAGTTTTACAACAAATTACATATCTGGAGTAAAATAATTGCTTTTGTTTTAAAAGCAATTAAAACTTTCTCATGAGACTCTGAAGTCTCTTCAGTCAGAGCATTTTCTAGAGCCACTTTGACACAGACTGCTACAGGAGACTCTTCTTCCTGCATACAACTGTGATAAAAATTAAATAAGTTACATTTACATTTCCTGAAATTAATGAAGCATAACCAGATACCCAGATTTTGTTCCTAAAATCTAAAATCCAACATCCTTTTTATGGTTCAGTCTTTGAATAAATTACAAAAATCTTAAAACACACAAAAAATATTTCTTAGAACTTTGAAGAAAGTTTTGACCTGAAGATGCTTTCAACTTTGATTTTTGCCCCTGTGGGAGAACCTTTGCACAGTCTGGATGATCATGCTCTTCAGCATGTGCTCACACTGCTCCCCATGTGATGCCTGTTTATCGTCCCACTCTGCTGAAATGCAACAACAAAAATGGGTAACAAGGAGAAAAGTCACTGTAGTTGAGGAAAGTATTATATTTAAGTCTGATATTAAAGTGGGAGTTAATAATAATTGTATATAAAGTAACAGAGTTTAACATGCAGCAGGTTTGATGTGAGGCTGAATGCAATGATCAACCTCATGGTGCTTCATCTTCACAAAGTGAGAGCATGTGCATGCCACTACTGTTTGCTGCAATGTTTCTGACCATCAACATAATAAATGCATACTGGAGGAAAAATAAAAGTTTGGTTCAGGATTCAAAAGAAACTGTGGTCTTGTGTCGTCAAGTCACATAGAATCAGCTCTTTTATTAAGTACAGCAAGTTGAGGCATTTGCACAGGAAATCAACATCTTCTGAACACGTAATACATGATGGCATAATATGCATAAAAGTACAAAGCGCATACTTTTTATGCAAGTGTCTTTTAGTGTTCTTTCAGTGATACGAGCTCCCACACGGAGCTGGATACAGTGTACAATCTACAATTCGCATTTGTCACAACTTACATACCACTTCGTTCATTGTTCTGCTGTCATTGTGAAACACACAAGTCCTGGATTAAAGTGGACGTGCCTCCTTTCCGAGTTCAGTAATGGGCACAGTGTAAACAGGGCAGTCACTCTCCTCTGCCTGGAATGTTCCCTAAGTAAACCACAGTCGCTTCTCCTCCATCCAGAAACCACGTTGTCTCCGTCACTGCTGCGGTTGCACCTTTTCCAGCCCCTTCTTGTTTTTTGTTTTTCGACAAATGCCAGGAGGTTCATGATCCACCAAAGAAAACAATGATCATAGTGCACAGTAGTGGGCAGGAGGAGAAGAAATCAGAGGGGAGATAGTGGCTCTTCCTCAGCAGGTAGAAGGGGAAAGGGCAGCTTGTATATCGATTGACAGGAGCAGACGTCAAGACAGATTCTGAGAGTTGGGGCTCAGGATGTCTGAAGATTTGCAAAGATCAGGGCAGGGATGGGCGACGCAGTGCCATGCCAAGTTCAGCTGTAGCGTGGCATTTCACACGCCTCACAGCGGTTGAGTGCAGGGTGGTTGAGGAGGGTGCAGCTATCACAGTTCCAGTGAGCTCCTTCAAAATCCTCATCTCTTTGAGGCGTCGGCTTGGAGGCCTGCTCCCCTTCTAAAGAGAAAAAACAACAGGAATAAACTGTAAATACAACAAGCACGAAAACAGGTAATATATCACATACACCAAGCGTTTCAGTGGGTTCCACTCAATGCATATTTATCAAGAGATAAATTCAAGCAAAAACTATTCAGTAGATAACTATAACTGAAGCATTGGAAGTAGGACAGGTGTTCCTCAAAGGTCAATATTGGGAACATTTTTTAAATACTTTTTAAAATAATCTTGGGGTACATATAGATCCAGCTATGGATGTAAATTTTCAGACTCTATTTGAAGCAAAGACGAAAGTTCATCAAACATTTCTGCAGTGCTCATGCTATAAGAGTAAAACCTGCAAAAAATCACAGTCACTGGATGGAAATTTAGATCCGTGTTTCTCAATCCTAGCCCTTACGGCACGCTGACCTACTTTTTTTTTTAATAACCGTTTTCCTGCTTTAACTAATGGCTGATTAATACGACTGGACAGCAATAATGTGATTAAGGTGTGAAGAAGCAGAAACGCATATAAAACATACAGGGCAGTTTGGTTAGAAGAGCAGAGCTGGGAAACACTGTTTTAGATGATGGGACCAGAAATATGTAGATATATCTCCAATTCCTTTTGTTCATAATTATCCAGAGCTGGAAAATACTTGAATCAAATTTCACACTTTCCAGACGACAGAACTGAATTGGGTTCTTCAATTACGCTCCGATCTCCAGAGCATATCTAACTTTCATTTATTACGTTCACTTATTCATTTCAAAAAAACTTACTAAAAACAGCTTTAGTAGAAAAGCATCACTGTTTTGAACTGTGATTTTCATTTAATTAATATTCTTTTACATGTCTTGGGGATTTGTTGTGATATACTCATTGTGTTAACTTGTCTGATTTTTTCAGCTCATCTTAACCATAAAATCCTAGTTGAAGAGATATTATATCTCAATTCAATGTTCCTGTTTAAATAAACTCAATTTAAAAAACAAAAAACAAAAAAGGTCAACAATACACTTGTAAACAAAAATGTGCCAGATTCTAATTCAAACTGTATCTAGCTTCAAAAGCCTTTATCGCTAATAGTTTCAAATGTCCCTCACCTTTCTTCCCAGGATTGGTCGGACCCAACGGACCCGGCTGAATGTTGTCATAGAAGTTGCACATTGCTTTTGGGTCAAACTTTCCTGCAGAGAAAAAACAGAAATAAAAGTTTATAGATTTTATCTAAATTTAAAGTGTGACTACTAAATAAACCAAATAACAGAAATGAAACGTAAAGGTAATCTGTTGACGGAGTTGCGACAGAATATTTCTAGTGTAACATGCTATGTAAATAGACAAGTTTTTCACTCATTACACAAAAGTTATTGCTTCTATCAGTTAGAATCAACTTGAGTTTTGTATCAACCAAATTGAGCATTGACAGGGTGGGGGGTTGGTTATGGATCAGCTTGTTTTCTGCTACAGAGCAACCAGCAATTTAAAACACTGCATCTATAACGAGAGTAACAGAATCCATCCATCATTTCAGGTCCAACTCTGTCTGCTTTGATGCTTGGTTCTTTTAGAATCAGCCCACATAAATAAATTAGACACACACTCAAACGTTATTTATGTAGATGTTTATGTTTAAGCCAGTGTGTGTGTGCGTGCGTGTGTGTGTGTGTGTGTACTACCTCTGGACTGCAGCAGATCTGTTTCCTTCAGTGTGCAGTCAATATCAATCTGCAGTTGTCTGTTGTGAGTTCGAAGTCGGGTAATCTCCTCCGGCTGCAGTCAATGAAAACATCCCATTCAGTTTAGATATGTCTTAAAACATTTTATGTTCCCGATCCAACTTTCAAAATTTTCTTATTAAAAATATGATTTCATAGATTGTTTTTATTATGATGACAGAAATATTACTTAGATACTGATGCATTCTGACAGGAAATAGGCCTGAGTGAATCTGAATGAGGAAAGTGGCTAATCTTTGTTTTGACACATAATAAGTTGGTTTGATTTGCTTTTATCCCTTGATAAATTAAATTTTGGAAAGTATTCAAATTATCTTAACTTGATCAAATTTGTTTGATGATCTGAAAAATTGTGACAAAAAAGAAAAGCAAGGGGGGGAATTTGTTTTTAAGGCACTGTACATATTGCGATACTTACTTTGGGAACAAGATGTGTGGAGTTGACCCGTCGAAAACGCCTTTGGAGGGCATCGTACTCCATGTTATTGACATCAGTCTTCAACTGCTCTAGTTTCTGCCTCTCCATGTGCAGCTCTTTTACCAGACGCTCCATCCTCGCCCGCTGGTGGAGCAGAAGAGCTGTGGGGATGGACATCAATTATAATGCGTTTAAAATTACACCCATTCCTCTCTTCCGTTGGTACTTCAACATGACAACACAATCAAATCATGCCATAAGAAAAGCACAGCTAGCTTTAGAAGAGGCTAACAATTACACTCTAGAGAAATTCAAAAGATTGCTTAACAAAACATATTTGGATTTTAATCATTTAACTTCAGACAGCTTAAGAATTCAAGGGTTAAATATCAGGCAGCAAACTGGAAAATTATGCAAAGATTACACTGCACACTTTTATAATTTTAAGTAAATACAAGAGATTATTTTAAAATTACAATTTGACATCAAGAAGAAAAATGAATGAAAGGAAATAAAAAAAGACTAACATTGTCACATCATGTCAGCCTTCAAACTTTTCATTTTTCAGATTTTATTTTACATACATTTTTAATTGCCTAAAACGTTCGCTTATAAGTTTAGAAACGGATAAATAGCCATGTTTACAGAGTGGGAAATGTAGATGTTCACAGTTCTGATTTTTAATCAAGAGATAAAAAATAGAAGAAAAAAAAACTAATGTTTTTCTCAGTACTTGTCCTCTGCATGATTCATAAGTGCATCTCTAATTCAGACACTAAAGCAACATATTTACAAATAGGATTCAGAGTACTGCATGTAGCACTAGTGTACAAAAAGCTATTGGAAGTGCTGCTAAATGAAAACATCTGCAACTTGCACCATTCTGAATGTGCAAGTAGGAATTATGACTTCCAGCCAAAACGTTTTTGTTGCATTTTCAGCTGCTACCTTAGAAAGTTTGACTCAAACAGATCACAGCTTTGAACAGAACATTATTTGTTGTTCAATTTTGGGTAATTTCCTGTTCATGCTACTGTTTTATTACAGGGTCTTACTGACTCATTAAGCTATTTGTTATTGAAAGAGTTAAATGGAAAAACAGAATTATTGACCAAAAATCTAAAAGATGGATTTAGTCATAATGTTAAAGTGTACATTGGAGGTCACATTAAAAACAATGAAAGATTTTCAGAATTTGATCAACTAACCATCAATTAGAAGCAATGAAGGGAAAATCCCCTAACATCACTCTTGGTTGACTGACTTGTGCATCTCTAATCTTTACACCCTCATATGGACTGAAAGCCAATTTAAAGACAAATAATAAAAAATAACATAATTAATGCACTTACCTTGTGTATAGGCATAGTCATCAGAGGCTGAGCTTGAGCGTCGGGGTAATTGATGAAACTGAGTGGCGATGTTCCCTGGCAGAGCGGAGATGGGCAGGATGGGTGCTGGGGTGGCGCTGTGCGCACCCTGATCTACAATGTTGAGAAGAGACTCAGCTTCAGCAACAGGTGGTGAGCTGGGTGGTCTTTGAACCTGGCCTCCAGGGGACACTTTAATTTTGAAGGTATAGGCAGACTGGCCTGGCTGGGGGGAGGACGCCTGCCGAGGCCTTGTGTTGCCTTGGTGTTGCAAGTACATTCCCGGGTGGAAAGTCGCTGGTCCAGGGGGTCCGCCAATCGTGATGGGGCGCGATGGGGAGCTGGGTGAGGGGCTTGTCGCCATGTATAGCGAGCCCTGGGGGTGTGGGGTGTGAACAGGCGAGTTGCTGCGAGGTCTTGGTCCTTCCAGGGTGATTTCTATCTGTTTTGTGAGAGAGGTTTTCGGTTGGTAGGGCCTGTACTGTTGCGGAGCTTGCTGCTGGTGATGGTAGGGCATATTTGTGAGGTTTGGGGGGCTAATAGGGAGGAAGACATATTGCTGGTGCCCAGGTTGAGGCTGTGGTTGTGGCTGAGGCTGGACCTGATGTTGGGGTGAGCTGTAAGGGGAGCCATATGTGGGGGTACTGTATGGGGACTGCTGATGCTGGTAGACGGGGGCTCCAGGAGACGGCCAGGGAGCTGGCTGTGGGCTCTGAGAAGGAGAGGGCCGGATGTACAGGGTGTTATTGGTGCTGTTAACATAGTGCCCTGGAGGAATCTGCAGCGCCTGATGGACTGTAGGTATGGTTTGCGAAAGGGTGACAGTAATAGGGTTCATAGGATATCGTGGAACTGGTGTATACGTGGGGGACATGCCTTGCATTGTGGGAGGAGGCGTGGGTGTGCTGGATGAGCGGCTCTGATCGTTCATAAAAAAAGGATTGTAACTGGGGGAGGGCGCCATGGTGGCGGGAGCCGACTGGGGTTCAGGGTAGCTCGGCCGCTGAGGGTCGATGTGACCGTCGCTGGTGCTGTGCACCAAGGAGCGCCCCCCTGCTGCTCCTCCTCCGTTTGATTTTCCAGCCTCTGAACCTGGATAGCCCAAGCTAATGTGTAGCATGTGGTTTCGACTCATTCGCATCTCCTCCGGACTGTGATGGAAGTCACCATAGAGATATCTGTTACTCTCCTGGGACAGCAGGTGGCAGCAAACATCCAGATTATTGTTGTTCTGAAAGAGTCAAAATGTTGAGTTAAGATCATTTCAGTGCTCTTAAATAACAAAGTTCAAATGTTCATCCAAGAGCTTTACAGCTCAGGTCATTAAAAGGAATTAGAAGATGGTTATAAAACCAAATTATTTGGAGAAATTGCTGAGAGATTGCAATATTATACTGTACTACATACTAGAGGATATTTATCTGAAAGAACATTTATCTGCAACAATAAAATGTCTTTAATGAATGTTTTACACTAAGTGTGGGTTAAATATGGGGGAGAAATGGAGAAAAGTGGCAAACAAGGATCCGATGCAACACCAAAACCTATAGAGTTTATTTACATATTGCATATTTCGCATAATTTTCAGTAAATAATTTTCAAGTAAAAGAGGACTTTTTATAAGCCAAATATTTGTCATACTATATGTAAGCAATCACCAGATTGTCATTACAGTTTAGATTTACACCTCAGATTTATTGTGAAGTCATTTGGGACTTATTTACTAGTAAAAGAATACAAGTCAAAATGACAGCCAAAACAAAATTGCATTTCTGTAGAAGCACATCTAAATGTCACAACCCAGCGAAAATGTCATAATAATGCATCTGAATAATATTCAGCGTTAAGTCAAAATGATTCATTTGAACGAATCCATCTGCTCTCCAGAGAACATATCTAAATATTCTGTAGGGAAAAGAAATTTGTTGGGACAAAAAAATATTCTATGACAAATAGGTTTTGTAGGTGCAGAAAACCAATAATACAACTTTTTTTTTTTTTTTAAGAAAAAGCTAATACCCATCTGAAGTGTGCACTTACCTGTAGAAGGAACTGAGAAACTACTCCCTCTGGGATTTCTGGAAATCGCTGCTTGAGGTCTTGCAGGATGTGGTAGTCGACTTGAGAGCCTCCCTGCGCCATCCTGAACCCACATAGAGAGTCAAAGGGCCCAAAGGTGCATGCGTCGTCTCATCCCCTGAAGAAGCAGAGGGTAAACGATACAAATGGTGATCAAGCTGTCATGTCAGAGGGAAAATCTTGCAATAAACCTGCTGGCCGACTGATTGCTTCAAACACACCCTATGTGTCAGCAGTAATATCATTACAGATATCAGAGAACGGGCACAGCAAGCTTGAACTGTCAAGAACAAGAATGCACATATCTCATCAACGTGAAAAATTAAAGTTCATTGCGATCGTAGAAACAACTTAAGCAGGGCTTGTGCATATTCACTCACATTAATGCAGAACTGCAAGGCGGCTGACATTCTGTTTGTTTCGCCGGACTTTTGCACCAGGCAACGACGACATACCGCCGTCAGCTCGCAGGCTACTTATCAACGTCAGTTAGCCTCCGGAACATCACCCAAACAAACAGCCGCACCTGTGTTCTGCGTGGTCGTACTGAGACACGGAGTTACTAGTCCTGAGAGACTTTCTAATGTCACCTTGTACTAATTTAGCAGTCCAATCCTCTAAACAGGATGACTCTTTCAATAAGATTAACTCAGTTCCTAAACTGTCAAGCAGCTAACTTTGCTAATGCTAACTTAAGGCTGCTCAGCTGTCACAGTCCCCCGGCTGGTAATGGACCAGCTAACTCTGCTAAAGCCAGTCAACGATTTCATTAAACTTACCATTGGTTAAAAGTCTCTGTTACGTTTAAAACCATAGCTGACTACAGAGGGACGCTTCGATGTTTCGGAAACCGCGGAGAGACGTTTTTCAGTTTGTTTGTTTCGGCGAAATAACTTGTAGTTTCGCATTCCAGCGTCAGGCCCCTGCAGCTGAACTGCATAGCAGTCAGTTTATCGCGATAATGTCAGGATTTCCCGGTGTGACGCCGCAAAAAGCGTCCGACAGTTGAAAGCTGCCTTCGTTACGAACGCGCCGCCACAGTTTATTCACGCTGCTAAGGGCTTCGGAGACCTGAGTCACACAATGTTCACTATTTAGAATGTCTATTTATTTATTTGTTTGTTTATTATATTGATGTGGCAGCCTTGCTTTTCATGTAACAATACTGATGCAGATGTCTCACCACAATGTTAAGAAACTGTCTGACGTATTAGAACCCCAAAACTTTATTTTCATGTCTAATACAGCGAAAATATAAAAAAAAATAAAAAATTGGGCATTCAATGCATTAAGTGTTTTGGCGAAACTGGGGATTTTCAGGGGAGGGACGCTTTTTTCGATACAACACCAAACCAGGAAATCGTTCAAATTGACGTGATTGATGGCATCAATGTAGAGGTAGAGCTGATTGATATATATAGATATATATCTATATATCTATATATATATATATATATATATATATATATATATATATATATATATATATATATATATATATATATAGCCCTTTGACTATATATATATATATATATATATATATATATATATATATATATATATATATATACATATATATATATATATATATATACATATATATATATATATATATATATATATATATATATATATATATATATAGATAGATAGATAGATAGATAGATAGATATAGATTAGATAGATAGATAGATAGATAGATAGATAGATAGATAGATAGATAGATAGATAGATAGATAGATAGATAGATAGATAGATAGATAGATAGATAGATAGATACTAAAGAAAATTTGTTTCTATATGTATTTCTAAAAAAGGTGATTTTGCAGAATTCTTTAAAAAGCATTCAGTCAGACATGTTTTGACTGTGCATGTGCTCTTTTTTAAATGAAGATAGACCAGTGACTCGGTTACTATTATCAACAATAGGTTCACATTTCACACCAACCTTTGAGGACAAGTTGAGTGACAGTGATCTTAATCTATGTGTGTGACGTCAGGATTGATTATGACACAGTAATATGTGCTGTCACAATGTAAAAGTGCAAAAATAGATCAGTCTATTTTAGGCTTGTGAACAGTTTTTGAACTAGGGTAAAGATAAATCCAGTTGCTTCATTAAGTCATATGTATTCGTCAGAATTAGGATGTCTATCAAAAGACAGTTAGAGATGTCTGATCTAAATCATTTTAGCATACAGTTAAGAATTTTTGAGTTTATCTCTGGTAGTGAATCACAGAGCTCCTGCTCTGTGGTGGAGTTCATTTTTCCCCCATGACAGCTGAGAGCTTAGCAGTGACAACTGGGAAAGACTCACTAGCTTCTGTTGCACAAACTACAATAAGGCCATCACAAGCTTTAACACTACAGTGTTGTTCAACTTTTATGCAGTGTTCCCATTTCAACATAAATTGCAAAAACATGAGAGTATTCAAACTACATTCATTTTATCACACTACATGCATATCTGAGTATTGTTCTGATTTGGGGATGTTACAGGTGCAGAAATATGGAAAATAAAGAAAAGTGATTCAGTATTGGCTTTCTGACGGGTTAGGGTTAGACATTTTATTGCATGGCCTCACATGGTGACGAGAGAGAAAATATTTGTTCTAATGGCTATTTAAGGGGAGTGGACACCACCTGGTGGTGTGAACTGTGTAAGTGCTAGAAATATTTCACAGTGTTTTTTTCTTTTTTTCTTTTGAGAAGTCTGAAATGCATTTGTCTAGTTCTAGCTTAAAATATTACCCATTTGGTTGACTTACATGGCATGTACTTTGTTTTTCTGTCGGATGGAGGAAAGAGTTCAGAGTACCAATAATAGCCCATGAAAATTTATTTCAAACAACTCACAGGAGCCTGCTGCTCAGGATTAGCCCTGGGCAGCTAAAGTTACAAGTCTTCAAGCAATTGAAGTGTTTTATGTATAGAAAGAATTGTCATTTAGAAAAACAGTTGTTGGTTGTTCCTTTTGGTATAATTTGTTGGTTGTTGCAAGTTCAGGTGTTGTGTTTCACTACAAAACATATAAGCTGATATGAACATAAAAAGGTAATGAACATTTAAAATTTTGATACGTTTGTATGAGGACAACTATTTTGATAACGAAGCTTTTGTCATTTATTTATTGAATTGTGAATCTGATGTTGGAAAGACCCCTAACATATCTGGGGAATGATGTCAATGGACATACAAGTTGCTTATTTTAGTTAAGATGTTTTGTAATTTTATAGGTTTTTTCCCCAGCAACTACCAGATGCTTGTTATTCAGACATTAAACTTGTTGACAATCAGGTGATTTCTTTATTAACTTAATAGTGTCAATACCAGAGAGGTAACAGAGATTAAATGACGTGAGAATGCAAAAAACTCAATAGCACACAAGACATTAAAGATTTTACGTAGGTGTGGAGAGGTGTGTCCCTCCACCACCACATGATGAAGGTTTGACCTATTGAGTTGATCTACTGAATTGTCTGGAGGCTGGACCACCACTAATATATTCAGTGGGGTGTAAGGGTAGTGCCATAGTAGTTGACGCTAAAGCCCAGTCTGACTCACGTTAGCTGCCCTTTCCTTGCTGATTAGTTGCCACAGCTGCAGCTATTTAAAGCAGTGTCCTTGTTGTCCTGCAGCAATCAGAACAGAGGGGAACGAAGCTTTCAGGGCCCAGAGAGTTCACAGCACAGACCCCAAACTGAGGGGAAGGTTGATCTGCATGAAATTTAAAACGCCATTTACAATATCACAAACCTTTTGAAGTTGGATAATTGTTTTGCAGAAATGTATAAACATGATGACATACAGATATTATGTCAGACAGGTGAGACTTTTGTGGTGACTTTAAGGATATGTGAGGAGCTCAAATGACATCATTTAGCTTCTTCGTGTATGAAGTAACGCTAATATTGATGTTTCTGCACATTATGCGATTAAAAAAAATATTTTAGTGCTTATACACAGACTTTTGAAAGAATCCTTTGAATTTTATCTAAGGAATCCAGAGCTATTTTACTTTGCCTCTTTCATTTGCAATGACACAGTGAGTGTCTGGTTACACCTCTGAGAACAGGAGCCCAAGCCTTGACCCTGATTCTCGGGGTTTCCCAAAGGCCCAAGTAATGCCAACTGTTTCCAGAGACACAGTAGCTTTTAATGTTTTTATTATATTTAATTGTGCAATAGTAAACTTAGCCCAGTACACTTAAAAATTACTGTGACACAGAGATTATGGTAGCACTATGAAAGCCTAAGCAAAATGTTTGTTTAGAAAATTGAATTTTCTGTTTTTTCAGTCTGGTTTCATCAGTGTTGCTACAGTTCTGCATGGAGGACACTAAGTTGTCTTTTCCAGCATAATATTTATTTTCATCCTTGTACAATAAGCAGGTACCCATCTCCATTTAGCTGATTCAAGCTATTCAATTCAATTCAGTTCAATTCATTACAGCCTAAAATGTGACCTCTGACATCTGAAATGTATGAAGCTTTAGTTTCTCAACACACACAAACACACTGAGCTCTCTAACGGTCAGTGCATACCAGAATGGCAGTGTTATACAGGTTATTTTGGTATGACAAAAGCCTGAACAGCTTTCCCAAATGATAAGTAAGGAATTTTGCCGCCAAGGAGACAACAAGCAGACCACAAATATCAGAGTCTGCTTTTAGAATTCAGTCCAAACCAAATGTCTTCAAAAGTGTATAATTTGAACACAGAATTGTTAATTGGAAACAACGTGGCTTGGTTTTGTATTCAGCTCATAGAAGCCCTTTAGCTGCAATTACAACTCTGAGTTTTTGGGGGTGTCTGTCCCTCTCCCTGCTTTGCACATCTGATGACTGTCTGTCTTTAATAATTTCTTTATTGCTGTTCCTCCATAAAGGCCAACTTTGTGGAGTGCAAAACTAATAGTTTAGTTCTGGAGAGTCACTATGGGTATCTTGGCGTCTTCTCTGATTAAACCCTCTGCTATGGGTTGTCGGTTTGAGTAGACGACCAAGTATTTGCAGGTTTATAATTATGTCATTCTCTTTCATTTTTGGAAAAAGGTCCTTGCTTGTTATTCATGGCCCAGCTCTGCTTTAGACCTCTTCATAACTTTACTCCTGGCATATCTGGTGTGTTGCTTGGTTCTCATGATGCTATTTGTTCAATAATGTTAAATAATAAATGTCTGAGTTCTTTTGAGAGCCACTGCTCTCTTTTTATACTGCTATATTGGATTTCCAAGTTCTGGAAAACAACAAAACTCCCTTGAGTACAATATGGCTGTGTAAAGTAATCATGTAGTTCAACTCGCCATTGGTAAAAACATTAAGTCCTTCTGAAAGTTTGTAATTCATTAAGCCAGAGAAATATATTGTGAAAGTATTTAAAACAAATAGAAAATCTAAGTGCTTCCTGACTTGCAACCAAAACGCTCGTCACTTGGGTGTGATGTCATTCCCAGCTCAGACTTTGGAGACAATTTGAAGGCAGTGTTATGTGGAACTGAAATTATGCACAAATGGACAACCTCTAACTACCAATTAAGTGATTTCAGAAGGCTAACGATTGCACTAGATTTTATCTACTGGTGTCAGAATAAAGAAAGCTGATTATAAATGCATGCCACACTTTTCAGAGTTTAGAGGGTAGGGAGGAAGGCAATTGTTCATTCCCTTCCACTTCATTTTGTTCTGTTGGTTAAAATAGCAATAGTCCACTTAGTCCAGATAAGATGCAAGTGACTATTTCTATCAAAATAAATACAAAGAGAGTTTCCTATTTATGCAGCTGTGACGAATAACCAGGACTGGCCTGTGTGGTGCTGATGCACATGTGCAGACGTGCAGACTGGGCAACAGCTGAATGTGGGACAGGCCTGCTCGCTGTCCGGCAGAAAGTAACGGTACTTTTATGGAAACGCCTCACTGACCCCCAACCAGCAGCCAGTAGGGTCTGTTCAGACTGTGGTCACGCCTCACCGATAGTCTCGCAGCTCTGACTTCACTGGTTTGAGTTTTTATCTACAAAAAGGATTTTTGAATCAGAACTTGAGGACTAAGATACACTCAGAAGGTAAGACTTTATTTTTTGTTATTTAGAAACACAATTGCCCTTCTCTTTTATCCCTTCTTTTATGACTTTTTCTTTGGACACAGAATTGTGTTGAATTATCTTTTCTAAACATATCAAAATGAAAATTAAAACACAATAAGTAGAGGAGTGGCAAAATAATAAAAGGTATACACTCAACTTTGTGAACAGCATTTTATCTAACAGGTTTGTTCATGACTGCATAGCAAAGTTAGCTGTTTCCAGCCAATTACAAGTCCGCTGTGATTTGGTGAATTGCACTTTTTCTTCACACGTACTCACTGAAAGGCCCTAAGAAAGCTCTGAGCTATGGCAGTTATTACACTTGAATCGTTCCGTGTAACATGTGTCAAACTCATTTATTTTCGTCATGAATTCTTGTGCCAGCTGTGTACAAAAATAGGACAGCACCTGCTGAAACTAAAATTTTCCAGTTAGCACAATTTTCTTTGGTTAGTGCTGGGTTACTATAAAGACCTTAAACATTTAACTCAAGTTGTAGATTAGACTCATTGGGAAAAAGTACATTTTCTTGTTTAGTTAATAAAATATGTAGACTGATGATAGTTTGGGACTTGACAGGATATATTATGTAACAATGATTCAGTACATTTTAGCTCCAGACGACATGTTGCCATGCATGTCTTAGAAAAATGACAGGTGATATTCCATATTTATCATTCTGTGCTACTGGTATTCATCTAGTTTGAAAATCAAAGGCTATTGACTAAACAAAAATGTATCTGAACCAGTCAGGCTTTTGAAAATATTGTAATTGAAAGATGCTCTTTTTAAACTTTCATTTTAACAACTCAGCCTATTCAGAACTATAAAGAGTTGAAACACGAATAAGCTCAGCATATGTATCCAGGATGAACCACCTTAGTTTCTCCTTTAACTGTGGTGTTTTCACATTTGATTATGTTGATCCTGAACACTCCTTTTTTACCTTAAACTGCTCAAAATACAGCAATTTCTGATTTACAGCAATAAGATCCTCAGATCCTAACAGAAGGTGTGTGTGGATGCTGACAAATAGTGACTGTTTTACAGAGGGATGACTAATATTCCCCTTTGTTCACCAAGTTGTTGAGCTCTGTGTCTGGCCATTTTGTGAAGGGTCCTTTGGGCAACATGTGGGTGTCAGCTTGATCTTTGTCCAACTGCCTATCACTCTTTACAAATAGAAATAATCACATGTTCTGGGGATATAAATAGGAGCAAGCAGGCCTTCACTGCACTCTTTCTCAACAGACTGAGGAGCAGAATGGCTGGCTTCGCCTCCAATCGGCTTTTAAGATTACATCAGAATAATACAAACTAACTATTAATGTTGAAAAAAATAAAATGCTGAAAAAGTAAACTGTTGCAATGACAAAGTTGCAGTGATAAAAATGCTAATACCAAAGAATGTAATTAAGACTTTGACCAAAATCTTATGGAAACAATATCACTTCACTTGTTTCATTACCAGTAGCAGCAACCAACACAAGCAGAGTTTGCTTTTTTCATGTGTTTTTTATTGAATGTATTAAATATATGGGACAATTAAAAATTTAAGGCACTTTAAAAAGATAAACAGTTTCAGTTCATACCTAATAATTTTCAATCCAGTTTAGTGTAAATGAATCCAGATCCATCATAATCCAATCATACAGTTACTTTCAGATTTACTTGCTGTGTTTGGTCTAATTCAGTCTCTGATTTAAATACTTATGCAAAGTCCATCAGTAGAAATGGAAGCAGCATAATCAATAGCTTTGTTCAGATAAAAACAGAAGAACTGAGCCAAGAGTACTTTCTATGGAAATAAAAAAAAGCAGCTGCTCAGTTATTGACTTTGTCCAGTGCAGAGCTACAGACAGACAGAAGCATAGAGCTAGAATATTTTTTTTATTAAAAGAAATAAACAAAGAGGACAGTTGTTTATTTCAATAATCTACCTGTACTGCGCAATTTAAGTGTTATAAAATGTTTCCATTTATATTGATAATTTGATTCTGGCCAACTCTCCCCTTGGTTTGCAGCTTCAATTACAACAAATCCTGTTTGTCAACTTGTCATTGTGGCACAAACATGACTGAGGTGGTACAGGTTGCAGCTAGTGATGTTCATGATGATAAAGATGACGCAAACGACAACGAGCACAGGATGAGCGCCGAAGACGACTCGGAGGAGGAAATGAGACAGGAAGAGAACGATGAGACATTTAGTGATGCTGAGGAGAGAAGTGAAGGGATGCCACAGAGCAAAGGCAGAGAAACTAACAGAGTGGATGACAGAACAAGTGAGGAGGCTGAGACAACCCAACTGAATGGAGAGGAAAGCAAAGAAAGTGAGAAAAATAATGCTGTCAATGGTGTTTCGGACAGTAAAGATCAAGTGCAGGAAACAGACAACTCACAGAACATGTCTGATTTGGCTTTTAAGAAAGAGGTAAGACACTGGAGCTGGGCTAGCAAGATTGTGTCATTGTATAAGTTTAAAACCTGATTCACATTTTATAATCTCCATACAAACTGCAGAAGTTGCTGAGGGCCAGAAGGCCAGTGGCCAGGAGCTACGTGCCGAAGCTGAACAAAGAAAAAGGAGATGTGACAAACAAGTTTGAGGCCATGCAGAAAGCCAGAGAGGAGCGCAGCCGGCAGAGGAACAGGGACGAGCAGCAGAAGAGGAAGGATCAATACGTCAAGGAGAGGGAGTGGAATCGCAGAAAGCAGCAGGTCAAAGAGAGACAAATGGCACTAACCTCCGACTGTGAGCTGCATGGCATGAAGGGGCATGACGGAGGTGACGAAGCTGCCAGTCTGAGTGAGAATCTAGTCTTTAATCAAGAGCGCTGCGGCTCCAGACACACTACTGGTCACATTTAATAACCAATTTCAGTTTTATGATTTTTCTGCCTTGATTTGCCTTGGTTTTCATTTAAAATCATATTAATGTGGATTGAATCATAAATTAATCACTAGTTGTACTGACATGCACTAATCAAATCACTTAATTGCCACAAATTATTATTTTATAAATTAGATCATTCTTTTAACTTAAAGTTTGCTCACCTATGTAGTGCAAAATCACAATATTTATTGTTTTGGAGCTTTTACTTAATTTTATGTTAGATCATATCAGATCATGTAATACTAGAATAACTAGCTGTTCAATAAGTTACACCTAGACTCTATCAAAATGTTTAATTCCAAGAAATTTAGATTTTTTTCTTTAAGTTTGTGCTAAATCTTTAGGAAATCTGAATTTATTTTATTTAAAAAAAAAGAAATCTGTAATATTCAACAAACTTAATGAATGAAAGAAAAGTCAAATGTGCCTGTTCAAAATAATTAGTGAGAAATTCACCCAACCCATATTGAGTTTAATTTCATTTATCTGTTTTTGTGTGTTTTCACAAAGACTCACCTGCTATTTTTTTATTATTTGGTTATCTGCAGCTGGTCAGAGGAATTAACACAGTTTATTATGAAAATTATCAAAAATCAACTGTAATTTTGGAACCTCAAGAGATGATGTCTTTCTCAGCCTTTTCACTTCTTTTTTCCCCCAAACCATTAAACATAATTTCATATGTTTTAAAAGTGCAGCCTTCTATTCATCTGAAAAGCATCTAATTGTGATTTATATTTTGTCTTTCATCCAATTTATGTTAGTTTTGTTTAAATCCTTATTCCTACCTTACATTTAGGACTTTTGTGATTTTTTTATCAATTTTAATTGCGTTCAGGAAACTGCTTGGATATAGATATCGATCTAAATCCAAGCAGTTTTTATAATACAGAAATAAATCTCTTCCTTATCAGGTAAAGAAAAGGCCCTTCAACACCAAGTAAGCATCGATGTTTGGTTTGAAATAAAAAAAATATGTATATTTGTTGTCTTTGCGCATTATATTTTTTATGCATATTATAATCAGTAGATGAAAATCAGTGTTTTTTTTTTAGATACAAATAATATTAATTACATACAAAACCTCTCAATTAAAATAATAATAATAATAAAAAAACAGAATAAAAAAAATCTAATTTTGCTCATTAACAAATTAATTGAAAATTTTAATTCTCAACTCAGTCTTAGTGAGCAAAAATAAAACCAGAGATCCAGAATTTGAGAATAAACAGCTTTTCTTCTAGTCTGCAGGAAATAAAATAAAGGCAGAGATACAAGGTTATGTGAGTGGATTAGTGTTGATAAGCAGACACAACAACCTTCCTGTAGACTGTCCTGCCAGAGCCTGCCAGGGTTGGACACCTGCGCTCATCCCCTATCTGTGCAGCTACACTGCAGGCCAATCAGAGGCCCACCAGCAGGCCACATGACCCTGATATTAACAGGGATTTGGCCCTAGTTCTTGCTGGGACCAGTATGGCTCCTTAGTGGCAGAGGAGATGATCCCAGCTAAACCTTAACCTCACCACTCTCTCTCTCTCTGATGTACCACAGATAAAAGAACTACTTGCTTCCAGTGATGAGGAAGAGGAGGTAAAAACGAAAAAGGTGGAAAAGTCCTACGTCCCCAAAATCACAGGTAAGACACATAAAAGGATGCAGCTATTAAAAGGAATGTGGCGGAGAAGGGGAAAGGCTGAAGGTTTACATCTTTCTATGTGATTTATCCAGGTAGTGTGAAGGGGAAGTTTGCAGAAATGGAGAAACAGAGACAAGAAGAGGAGAGGAAGAGGATGGAGGAGGAGAGGAAGAAGAGAGAGGCCCAGGATAACATGGAGAAAGCAAAAATTAAGAAGGAACTGGCTCAGAAAGCTGCTGAGGTCAGTGATCTCAAGGTTAACTGGTTGCAAAGAGTCTCATATCTTACTGAGAAGCATGGCGGCCTGTGTGAGTGGTTCAGTCCTGCCTTCATGGTGACAATGGAGTGCTTTCCTCTGTAATGACTGAGGTAATCCTCAGCTGCCACTTGGAATAGTTATTTTAAGTGGCTTTTGAGATGAGAACAGTTGGCAGGGGCTGGATTTAGGTCTGAAACCCAACGGTAGCATTGTTGACATGTGAAGACCATGAACCGACAGCGTGTTCAACGTGTCACAAGTTTGGAAAATGATTTGAGGTAAATGACTTAAATGTTACCAATTGTTATGCACAGAAAAAGTAACACAGGACTTACTGTTAAGTTCTCGGGGAAGGGTTATGTAAGTATTCTTGTGCCAAATAGATAATCACAGGCAATTACCTGCTATCTTTGTGCCCTAGTTCTGCTTCAGTGCAGGTATGAGTGACATTAAATAAAATAAATAACAGAAAGAAAACTCTGTCAGGATGCTGCTAATGAGAGATAATCGTGATATTAAGTTTACTTTATGGACTGCTATATACTATATCTTGAAAACTGACTTCAATATTGTCAGCTGAGCATTTTACCACCAAAACTACAATCCTTGTAGGGGATCAACTTTGAAGTGTCCAATAAATGGTTGAGGTAAAGTTACTGTATGCAAACGTTTAACAGGTAGTCTTCATTTTAAATGAATGCTTTCAATCTAAGAAAGGCAAGTCTGTGACCTGTAACCCATGTCCCAGGGTACCACCGTCCCTTCACTTTTATGTCCCCGCTCCTTTGATTCAAGTAGAAGCTAAAATATTCCAGTGAGAAACTGGAAACACATCAACAAAGCTGATCTGGAATCAGTTCTGGTTGAGTCCCTGCTCATGAACAGACACAGCACAACATGCCTTTCTGTATTATGTAAACACCATCGTGCAATATAAAATTACTGGCATAACTTATTCTTCTGTGTTAGTTAAAAAGGAAAAATACAACAGCAAATTGTGTGCCTTGTATATCTTCTTTCAGTCCTATATGTAATATTTTATAAGAGTATTGTTTTGATAATATATTGCACTAATTATATCATATTGTTCTGTCTCGTATGTCATCAGAATGTTGTATTTGCAATATAGCATATTTCATAATATTGAAAATAGGTTTTTAATTTTAATGAACTTAAATCCTAGTAAAATAAAGGTTAAATAGTTTTTGTTTTAAATGTTGCATCATATCGTACAGAGTTTCTAACATCATATTATCTAGCAATATGTACATCATTGAACATGTTGTATTGTACTGTATGACATACCTTATTGTATGTTATGTTTTTTTTGTTTGTTTACACCTGTTGTCATGTATGATTAGTGTGCATGTTCTGCTTAAAGAATTCACAATTCACAATTTTAACTCACAACTTATTTTTTATTCAACTATTTTCTTTGAGGTTAACAATATTCAATCTAGAAGGAACTGGAAGTGAGCTGCTAGGTGTAGACCACCCGGCCTGCCAACTGTTTCCCACACGTCTCACTTTCTAAATTTGCTGTAGACTTCCATCCTGTGACAGATTTAGACTCGGCTATCTTGAATTCACACCCCTCACCCTCATAATGACCCACTGCAAATGGTGACAGTAGACCCACAGAGTGTCCCACTGTCACACCCAAACCGCACAGTGAATTTTTATGTATATTACAGGAAGGAGATGACACAATCCTGATACGTGTGGTTCCAGCAAAGCAGTCAAGACCTCCAGGCAAAATCAAGATGAACTTTGAGGACATTGAGAAAAGCCGAGAGGAGGAGCTGAGGAAAAAGGTAGAGGAGGAGAAGAAGAGACGGTATGATGAAAACAGACGCTCCTTCAGGGAAGCCAAGCGGCGCTCTATTGTTCAACAAGAGGTAAAAAAACTTTTTAAGCTGCTTTTACAACCTCACCGTGGCATAAGGCATGAGAAGACATCAGGGTCTTCTTTATTTGAAAAAGGATGAAGAAGAAAAACCTTTAGAGAAGTTGTCGGTGACTCCTGGAAAGCTGAAGCTGACATTTGAGGAGCTGGAAAAGGAAAGGCAGGAGCAGCGGAGGAAGCAAGCTGAAGAAGAAGCCAAACAACGTTTGCTGGAGGAGAAGAAGGCTTTTCAGGAGGCAAAACAGGGAATGGTAAACAAAACACATCAAGTGTAAAAACAAAAGCAACATGATTTTTTAAACTTAATGTGCATGTTCACATAGCTAAAACCTGAACTTTAGTGCCACGTGAAACAATTAAAGTTCTTAAAACAATTAAAATGATGATTGTGTTGAATACCTGTTGAGCAAACCTAAAAAAGATTACACTTAATTAGGAAGAAGACGAGGACATCAACCAGGAGGATCAGGAGGACAAAGAGGAGATTCGTCCTGGAAAACTGAGACTGAGCTTCGAGGAGCTGGAGAGACAAAGAGTTGAAGAGGAGCGCAAGAGAGCAGAGGAGGAGGCCAAGAGACGCATGGAGGAGGAGAGAAGAGCTTTTGCTGAAGCAAGGAAGAGCATGGTCAATATCGTTTTCATTCTTGTGTAAAAAAATTATTTGTATTAATATGTGCATGGCTTTCAACGCTGACCTGCAAAAAGATCCACAGGCTACCTTCTAGAATTGTTTCTGAATTTGCAGGTTTTGTTGGCGATTATAATAAACTGTGGGTAAAACAGGAAATATTTAACTAAAGCTTAGTTATCATGTCTGAAAGGATTTATCCAAAATAAAAGGTTGAATTAGTAACACAAAACTAACATTGGTAGAATAAATCACAGAACATCTCCCAAATAGAGAAAATAATACCAGGCAAAAAAAATCAGAAGTAGATTGTTTTCAGACATTACCAAGGATCCTTCAACTTACATTGTATTCTTTTCTCAGCTGATAGATGAAGATGACGAAGTGCTGATGGCCTTGCTGAACCTAGAGGGCAGCAAACCTGGGAAAATCTGCGCCAGCTTCGAGGACTTAGAGCGGCAGAGACGTGAGGAGGAGCAGAGGAAAGCAGAGGAGGAGGCCAAGAGGAGGCTGGAGGAGGAGAAGAGGCTCTTTGCTGAGGCTCGCAAGAGCATGGTGAGTCAAGTGACTCAGTGATCAAATGTTACAGCACGTGTGTGTTGGGCTGGTTACTAATATTACTTAGTTCAGTCATTATTCAACCTTTTTATAGTGCTTACACAGTGCCAGTAATAAGTTTACATATTATTGGTATGAAAGTCATAATAATTTTGGCCTTTTAATTATACTTCTAAGACAGTTTTCTATGTTGATTTTTCTATTAATATCAAGCACAAAATCATACACAGCAGCTCAGATATTTGAAAAAAAAAAAAAAAACAATTAATTTTTTTGTCACTCTCAATACAGTTGTGGCACAATCACAACTGTTTCCTGTTATGAAGCTGATTATCAAATAAAGTTCACTTATTTTCAAGGGTCATGACACCTGAAACTTAAAAACTAAAGAACACTTTACCAACTGACAGGCATGGTGGCAGTAGCAACATGCTGAGGGTATGCTTTACTACAAGGCATGATGCCACATTCGAAAAAATGATCAAAATTATGCTTTATTATAACTTTGTCCATAACGTGAGAAAAACAAGAACAGTGCAAATGCATTACTAAAACATCCAAATGATTAAGACTTTCATAATTGATGTATGTAAACTTTTGGCCTTTATATATATATATATTCTCTATATTATTCTACTGGGCTCAAGTGATATGTCTGTACTGCTGTTACCATGTCCAAATCATCTCTTTAAGAGCCCTATCCTGGATCAGGAAAAATCTGCATATGGAGATGAAACAGTAAGGTTTTTTTTTTAGTTTAACCTTTTGAAAAAATACAGTAAAGTCAAATTTAAATCTGGATTTTCATGCAGAATAATAACAGGATGCATGCTGACTCTAAATGCATAGTGGGAATGGAGTTACTTTGTTACGTTACGTTACGTTACGTTACATTACGTTACATTACATTACGTTACGTTGCCTGATATTTTTTTAGGTGCTGGAAGATGATGAGGTGATGGTGAAGAGTGAGTCTCAGGAGGCTCTGCACCCCAGAAAATTGGAGATCAACTTTGAGGAGCTCCTAAAAGAAAAGGAAGAGGCTGAGAGAAGACGCAAGGCAGAGGAGCGCAAAAAGAAGCTGGAGCAGGAAAAGCAGGAGTTTGAGCAGCTCAGAAAAGAGATGGGAGAGGTTTGTCTTTAAACTTTAAAGTCTTGTTTAAACCCACATTTGTTTTAGATACGCCTTCACCTTAGGTTCGAATTCAAGCTGGACTTCATCCAAACAAATGTTTGTGAATATGACTGATATTCTTTGTTTTAATTTTGGACTGTGGCTCTAAACTTTCAGGATATAACACTTAATTTTTGGTGACATTTCACAGGAAGAAATAAATGAAAGTTCAGACGTCATCAGCACAGAATACGAAGAACTGACAAAACTCAAGAAAACTGGCTCCATTAAAGCCAAAAACCTCAAGTCCAAATTTGAGAAAATCAAGCAGCTGACAGAGGAGGAGATCCAGAAAAAGATCGAGATGGAACGAGAGCGAAGGAAGGCTATTGATGACGAAATTAAACAGAGAGAAGCTGAAAGGGCCCAGGAGGTAAAATGACTCAAATGTTAAATGAAGAATCTATCTTTGAATGGGTCTTCTATTACAAACAAATTCTTGCGTCAAAAGACAAAAACTGCTAGGTTTCAAAAGCTAGCACATCAAAAAGCAAAAGATAGTAGTTAAATTAATTGAAAAATATTTAAAAGACACATACATATGAAATACTATATATGTCCACTGTATAAAAAGAGACACACCCATTTAGGTAATTTAAGATTATTTCTACTTGTGAAATGCCAGAAAAATACTTTATTCAAATTCAGAGGCTTTGAAACTAAGATGAGAACACTTAAACAGTTCGACCTTAGGAATGACAGCAGTCAGGAGGTCGGTTCTACTTATCTCAGAGATTCACTGGATTTGTTAAGAAACATGTGTATCAACAAGACCATGGGAAAATGCTGACGGAAGCTGGTAAGATGGCGTCATCCACAGTGAAAAACACTGATGTTCCACCAGGAGCAGAAAAGCCCAGTTTGGCAAGAGGAAAGAGCATCATATTGAAATATTGGATATTGAAGTAACATGGAAGTTAAAGTGTTTAAGCAAATTGGACTTCCAAATGAACAATGGCCATGTCGTTTTACAATGTGTTTTTAGAAATCTTGTTTGAACTGTGCATATGCCCCATGCATTTCAGGACGAGGAAGAAGAAGAAAGAGAAGCAACTTCAGTGAGATCTGACGACCTACCGTTCAAACAGAAGGTGGACATGCGGGCCCGGTTCGAACAAATGGCCAAAGCCAGAGAGGAAGAAGAACGGAGGAGAATAGAGGAGCAGAAGCTGCAGAGGATGCAATTTGAACAGCAAGAAATCGATGCTGCGCTACAAAAAGTATCTGACTGTGTCACATACAATTTAGATCTTGGGCTTCATTTGATGCCTGCAAGAGAACTTGACTGTTTTTGTCTGCTTGCAGAAGAAGGAGGATGATGGCGAGGATGAAAGCAGCATCATCAATGGATCTGCAGCCTATGAAGATGAGGAAGATCACGCGAGGTCAGGTGCGCCGTGGTTTAAAAAGCCCCTCAAAAACCAGTCGGTGGTGGATTCTGAGCCAGTTCGGTTCACCGTTAAGATCACTGGAGAGCCAAAGCCAGAGGTCACCTGGTGGTTTGAGGGAGAGATGCTCCAGGACTGTGAGGACTATCAGTACATCGAAAGAGGAGAGACATACTGCCTCTACCTGCCGGAGACCTTCCCGGAGGATGAGGGGGAGTACATGTGCAAGGCTGTGAACAGCAGGGGCACAGCAGCAAGTACCTGCATTCTCACAATAGAAAGTAAGACCACTCTGGTGTGACTGCATGCCTGCATGGTGATCTTTCCCTGGAATTTACCTCACTTTACAAAGTGGATCGCATGCTCCTCTTGTTCAGGAACTCAGGCTGAAAAGCAAACTTTTACAACAGCTCTTCTGTTTCTGTCTTGCAGCTTATGACTACTGAAGCCCTCCCTGTTGTTTTTCAATGTAAAACATCATCCACTGTGGTCAAATGGTAGAGGGACGGACAGTATGCTTGGCATTCCTAAGACAAGGATACACAGCACATGCACGCATATACACAAGACATTATGTTGTTTACGTATTGTTCAATGAAAAATGCTGCCCACCCTGTAGGGATTTTGGATTATACCTGTGCCAAAACAGACAGATTCCTGTTTCAACACCAGGGGTCGCAATGTGCTTCAAATATGTTATCGTTGCAAAACCTGAACGATGTTAATCAGTTCAAAATGCTGTTGATTTTCATTGTAAATATCACACTTTTATGGTCCATAAACAGCAAACAAGACTAACCAGATCTCACACCGAGAAGCAACACTCATCAAGGTACGACTGCAACAGTCACATTTTGCAGGAAATAAATTCATGTGTACATCCTAATTTTTTATATGCAGAATCTGACAAAAATAATTGATCATTGGTTATTTTTCATGAATCCAGGCCAATTTTCTCTAAATTCTTGATTCAGATGTCATTGTTTATTTGTCAAGAACGATCTTTTATTGTTGATAATTAATGAAAAGTAGGCTAGTGTGATGATTTGTCTTATTATATGATAAATAGAGAACAAGTTTTAATAAAATAAAATAAAACTACATCTCTTTGAATGAAAACGTGTAGTTTCTGTCACTATATTGTTTTATAATGATAACGGATATTGTGAATTGTAAATAACAATGGTTTAGTCACTTTAGATCATACACTCGACTCTTAGCTGAGTATAAGCATTTTTACAGAGACAGTGAACAAAATGGTACACGGACAATAGATTACAATTAGCATGTTACTGACCCTGATGTCAAAATGACAGGATTCATGGCGACCATGACAGTTTCTCTGAAACAGAAAAGCGTCATTTTGTGGAACGCCAGAGCGACTCTTATCACCATGGCAACACGCAATGCCCGAACAACCAGCTGCGCAGTTTCACTGATCTATAAAACATGTCGATGCCCTCCGCCAACCATCAATCTTTCCTGATCTGACAACCAACGCGTAAAACGTGCAACTTCGTTTGATCAAAGCAACAACCGAAGAGGCACCACCCCAGACAACACTTTGCCAACAACAGTGTCTCTTCCTGGAGGACCTCGTCTCATTACTGTTCTATCCACCTAAAGGAAGATCTGCGCTTGTCGGCGTAGGGCAGCGTAAACCCGCCCTCCGCTGCTTTTTGTTGAATTTCCTGCAGCTGGACGCGCTGCCATTATCATGGCCCCATCGGTGGAAGAGATTTCTTCGTCTTTAGTGCGGGAATATCTGAGCAGGAAGGTAAGTCAGCGAAGACGAGGTGTCAACAGAACTCTGTTTCTGTGACGACCGTTAGCTAACTAGCTACCTAGCTTGTGTTAGCATCGCCCTCTCAGTCACTCCTCTCAGTGGCCAGCATGTTATTTTGGGACACGTTGCATGATACGGTGCTAACGCTGACTCTTTGCTTTGTTTTTGTCATTCACATTTATGAATGGAACAACTGAATCAAGGATAAACCCCAAAAGTGGTTGAAAAGCTGTAGGTAGAAGGAATATTAGGACTGTTATGTGTCGTAATATGCAATTTATTGATAAAGCAATTGGAACATATTAATCGGAGCAGGCTTTTACATGTTTCCCGTTGATCATTGATCTTTTTTGTTTTTTAACCAGCGTAGTTGCTTTGTCTGATTTGCAACAAACTTAGTCAAAACAAGACGTAGGGAAAAATTATGCAAACAGCTGCAGCTCAAATGTTGCTGAAGATTTCATAACTTTTCTACTGCTCTTGAGCATAAATAAAGTAATTTATGAACCATGTAGAACATTCTTACTTATTTCCTTGAGCAGAGATGGCCACGTTGAGAGAGGATTAATTTTTTGTTCTTCTTCCCTCTAGAACAAACTCCCTGATCGAGCTGGGTTGTGCAGAAATTATACACTCATAAATCATAAGACAATTCTTACCTCCAAATTTGGATCAAAGAATGTCACTATACTAACTATTTGTCCAGCAGGATTTTAAAAAAATATTTAAAAATCTGAATAACATACTGTACAGTAAGGGTAAATTTACAACATAAGAAAAGTAGTATAGTTATTCAAATTAGCATATTCAGATTAAAAGGATAATTTATAGAAAAATATGCATGAATATATTTTTTTGAAAACAACAATAAACTGTACAAGCAACAGAATGGTTAAAATAACAGCAGGAATGTTATTTGAAATAAGAAAAAAAAAGAAACTAAGCAAATAACAGCAAGGATATATGGAGTTTGTTGGGATTAGTGACAGTTATAATTTATTCCTTCTAGTCAGCTCCCAGGAGGAATAATCTGTGATATTGCTGCTCCTTGGTGTTGTGTTGACAGAGTTCTTCTGTCTCCCACCTCCTGCACTGGGGGCATCCAGTGACAGAGCTGGCCTTCTCAATGAGCTTTTCTAACTGCTGCTGTATATAAACAAAGTTTCCCTATCTATAAATGTTCCTTTCTTTGTTTTCCCATCCATCTATCCACCTATCCCTCCATCCATTCTTGCATTCTGTGATGTTTTATGCACAGGGGCTGAAAAGGACCATCGCTTGTATGGATGAGGAACATCCACGCACGCCGGCCAGTATCAATAACCGATCACTGCTGAAGCAGATGCTTAACATTGAAGATCTCTACAGACAAAATAAGGTAAATTCATCATGATAAATGCTACACATTTGTATACATATCTGCCTAAATAGTCTGCAACTGACTTTCTTAAAATTGCAGCTTCAGAAATCGCCTGTGAAAACATTGTTGGAAATCATCGTGAAGCATCATATTGAACGATTACACCATGAAAATATCACTACAGGAGACTCTCAACATGTGGTCCCAAATACAGGCTCAACATCTGATTACCGTGCAGGATCGCCATCAATAATAAATGAAACAAAAGCAGATGAAATTACACCAGTGATTTGTTCTGAATTGAGGTATTTAATAGCTACAAACTTGCCTTACTTTATTCCATTGAAGCTATTATATTTTACTTGCATTCTTTTTTTACAGTTCTGAAGTGAAAGAAATATGCAGCATTCCGGTGACAGATTTATCAGCGATATCTGAGAAAGATGGACCCACTTCCTTGAATCCAAATAATTTCTTAATTGACAACACAGATTACCAAGCAGGCCAGCTACCAATGCCTTTGAAAAAAGAGAACTACACCCGAAAAGAGAAAGAAGAAAGTTTAATTGTTGGGGTCACCTCGAAAAACAAAACTAGCCGCATCAGGCGAGGCATGGTGGCCAGACCAGTAGCTCAGGTATTTACCTTAGAAACCTGTAGAAGATATATTGCTGATATTTTTCCTCCATAATTAAATTATGGTTTTCGTTTCAGGAATCTAACAGAAGAAGGCAGAGTCAAAGGGTCGAGGTTTCTCAACCATTGTTCATCAGGGATCAGGAAAGCAGGGAGTCTCAGGATGGACTTGCCAAAAACGCATCCAACTGGGAGGAACAAAATCTAAAATCCATTGATTCAAAAGAAGAAAACCAGGAAAAAAAGGACTTCAGAAGTAAAGGACAAATAACAGTAAACACAATAAAGTAAAAACTCATTTGTTACTCATTGGATTGTATGTTTTCATAGTAGTGAAAGTGTATTCAGAAGGTTACCAGAGGTTTTTTGTGTCTTGAAGAGTAAAGATGAAACCAGATGCCCATGAGCTGAACCTGGATGAGATGGTTTTAGGTAAGCCCTGAAAGAAAGAAATATCTTTGCTGTGTTTAACAACTTGATTTGCCAAATGGATGTGTTTTTTTTTGTTTGTTTTTTTTTCACATTTTCAGATGACATTGATGACTCTGGTGTTCTGCCAGAAGTGCCTCTTCATAGCACTGTTTCAAAGTTTAAATTTCCAGGCCGTCCCATGGACCATCACAACACTACGGTGTGTTTCTGACAGCACTGATACAGAGACCAGCCAGAGACAGTTTCTGTTGGATTTGAGCTTGTTTGTTTAATAGTTTTTTTTTTCTTTTAGGAATTGAAGACAATTCTTCTGGGTTCCAGCTTAAGTTGTTTTAGCACTGAGTGGAAGAATCAGGGTTTTACCTTTTCTGACACACATGACCTCGGATACGGGATTGTGCAGAGGAAGGTGATTTTGAATTCAAGTACAAATTTATTCTCATGTCTAATATCAAAATGACTCTTAATGCTTAATAAGTTTTTGAAAAAACATTTTTTAGGGTGGTCCCTGTGGAGTATTGGCATCAATTCAGGCATTTTTTCTGAAGAAGCTGCTGTTTGAAAACACTGATGGTGGAGATGTTATCCTTCAGTAAGTGAGCTTTCACATCAAAGCTTTGCCATGCTGGGTCTTAATCTAACATTTTCACATGTTGGCACTTCATAACCACAGACTACAATGTGTTTTATTGTGATTTTATGTGATCAACCTTTTCTAAGTTGTTTCATTGTCAGTCTGGCTGTTTGGTCTTTTTGTTGCATCAACTTTTTTTCTCATGACAGCTTCAGTTTCCCTCTTGAAGAAAGTCATCGACACATTATAATTGTGCTGTCAGCATGTTTCACGTGTAAGACAATTGAAAGCTGGTTTATTGAAAGGTTTTATGTGGTAGTTAAAATTTTGATCTGAATCTAAAACTGCACACAAATTACTTGCATTCTCTTTTCTGCAAAGAGAAACCATGTATTATTTTCCTTCCACTTATGAATTTTTCACAACTTGGTTTTTGATTGTTATATAAAGTCTGTATCATCTGGATTGGAACAAAATAGTTTAAGACTGACGTTTCATTTTGTTTTCAGACGACTAAGACCTTCCAGCAGCACCAGAAGACACTGTCTTGTTTTGGCTCTGACTGAAGTTTTGTGGAGAGCCGGGGAGGAAAAACAAGCTGTAGTTGCAATGTAAGACAATGACTGTTAATTTGTTAAAATACTTGCCTCTCACCCTGTAGGTGTGATAACAGTCTCAAAAGTTGATCCCTAAAGAGGTAAAAAGAAATTGCTGTAGTGACCACTACGTCAGAACGGCTTTGTGGAAGCATTTTCTTATTCTTTGCTTATCTTTCCTCTTGTTTTGTAGTGGTAAATGAATTAAACTATGAAGTAATAATCTTATTCATTCTGCTCTCTAGTAATTATTTAATTTGCCTTATGTTACTGTTTAACATAATATCTGCTGCAACCTAAGCTTACTTATTTAGGTCACTAACAGGTTTTAGCTAACACTTTTCGTATTTATCTCACGTTGTGAGAATATGTTATCTAAGGTCAGATCAGTTCAGTATGTCTGAGTCAGATGAGTGATCTCTGACAAACTGGGTTCACATCTCCACCACCTGTCAAACCTATTTATCTGAGAACTCCCCTGTGGAACTGCTTGACTAGATGTACCACAATTTTAAAGTGTTTGCATTCTTTTGCTTTCTTTTGTCTTTATTTATCTTTTAATAACAGAAATTCAGGAAGAAGCCATTTCACCGCATTTGGACACTACAGGTCTGAGGGATTGTTTGAAAAGGTACAAAGGTTCTTCTGTCTGTACGATAGGACAGTTTTCATAACTGGTTTACATACACTTGTATAATTTAACATTCTCTTAATTTTGG